TCACTTGCGTCCTTTATCATTTCTCTTCTTCTGCATTTAGCTAATATTCAGCAGCAGAAGATATTTTGTGAAATTCATTTTAGCATAAATATTTGACAATATCAGGTAATAATGCTATACAAAGTTACCTGAAATTGACGAAAATTTCCTGCCATCTTTCCCTTTTTCTCTTCTTTCCATTTTGAAATTAAATGATAACCTTAAAACTGGGACAAACAAAATTTTTTTTTTTGCTATCCAGCTCTGTTTTCTTCTCTTGTCACATTTGTCAACTATTAAGTCACTTCGGATGAGTTGTCCGGTTGAAACTGTTAGATACGGTTGTTTGCTTCCTTTAGTTGGCAAAGCGATCAGAAGAATGTAATCTGTTGAAAAAAGAGGAAACAAAGAGCCAAATTAACTGTTCTGTAATAATTGAAATGTTTTTTTTTTTTTTTTTCATCAAAAATAGCAATTGTTCTGCACGATCAGGTACGAACAGGTATGTTTCCGGAATTGGCTACTGTTATACGAATTCCTAAAAGAATCGTTTCTTCCAGTTTATGCAAAAAGATTGTCGTAGGACAAAAGGCATTCATATTTCTGGGATTGATATGTGAGGAAAATTATATCATCAAGGAGTCAAGAAGCACTGAAGTTGTTATAGTATTAGGGATTATCACATAAGCATGGAAGATTACGGTTTTCCTGATTATAACTTTTCTGTGATGACCCGGTCAGTGATCTTCGGAATTGTAGCAAAAGGCAAAACCCATGTTTCACGGGATGATATGGTGTTGAAAAAATTATGAACTCGGAAATGTTGCATGAAAGAATGAGGCAAAAGTGTGATATAATTAGTGTTAGTGAGGCGTTCTTTTCCTTCTCGTTATTAATTAATTAATTAACCGAATGATGGATAATGAATGACAGGTAGATGAAAAGAGTTCAACAGGTGTCTCTCTCTTCTCATCCTGTTTACCTGTTGCACAAACGGTTCCGATATCGAATAACGGAAAGATCGCATCACTTCCTATTAGTGAAACTTGTAGGAAAATTTTCCTTCTTAAAGTTTTATTCAAAGAATTGAAAGACCCGAATGCAAGCTTTAGTTATCAGATGATGATGATTTGTTGATGTTATCACTTGTATGGCCTCAATGCACTGATTATAAATTGTTTTTATTTATATGTCCGATGAAGCAGATGCATTGATGCCTTCCTTTCAGGCCATAATTGCAACTTGTTATCAAGACACATTTACTAGATTTCTTTTTCTGCTTCTCTTTGAACTTATTATCTCATCTTGTGATATGCATATGAAATGCAACATGATAAATTCAAGAAAAATTAACAAAGAGAGAAGAGAAGTGAAGTGAAATAATTGAAAGGAAAGTGTTTTAAATTATCATCATTATAATTTGATGAAGTTTTGAAAATTTTATTGAATTTTAAAGAAGAGAAACAAAGTAAACAGCTTTTATTACAGTCAATTTAAGTGTTTGCACTTTTTGACAGTAACACAGCTGTTGACTGTGGAATAAGCAATGCAAATGACACGTCAAGATTTAAAAAAATATACGTAAGCGTAAGCGTAAGTGAAATTTCAAATGTGAAAAAATCATCTGAGGAGAGTAGAATTTACTTCGGGAATGAAATTATATCAGAAATATATGGGAAGGATTCCTATTTATCAATTTTATGGAAGGATGAAAAAAGATAAACAAATAAACCAAAAACGAGCTTTTTTTCTTCACATAACTTTAAAAGATTTACTGTCGAGAGTGGTTTGGCTTGCGGCCAGAAGCATGACAATCAGTTAATAGAGATGACATTTGTGAGTACAAAAGAGGACAGTGATTCATTGGTAGGTACGACTGGTGACAGTTTAAGTGCAAGAGTAATTCGCTGTCATTCTCAAGACACAACAAACAGACAAACAGACAGACGCATGCATACACACACACACATACAGATGCGTTGGAGAAAAATTGATTTGAGAGGAGATGAACTGGTGATTCTCGATCGATATTATAATTTGTCATAAATGTACCGCCCTGTCATGACGTTATTGCTGTCATTACCCTTACACCATAACCGTAGCAGTGCTATAGTAGTACGGGCAGGTAAGATGAGACGATACGGGCAAATTAAGCCTGAGGTAAGATGAGACGAAACAAGAACATCCATCCGTGTCGCCACCTGCATTGATGACTACGACACTGGTGATAAGTAATCAGTTGGATATCAGTAGATGAATAAGTAAATGGGTGGGTAGTGAATGGAAGGAAGAGATATTTGGATGGTTGTTGTTCGCCGTTTCCCTGAAAAACCAAATTTAAGCTAAGAATTGAAAATCGATAAAACAGAAAATAAGTGCTGCGACAGCTGTCACTGATCGTAAGGCATGGTAAGCTTAACACAAGGTAGCAAGTAATACTATCTATTTCTCTCCGAGGAGACAGTCCACAATGACAAAGGGAGAGAGAGAGAGAGAGAGAGAGAGAGAGAGAGAGAGAGAGAGAGAGAGAGAGAGAGGGTTTACTAAACTATTAATAAGTGTAAGGCATTCTAGGCTTAATAGAGACAACCTAACTTTGTCATAAAAAGCAGCAGTAGAAGAGGGAGTGTGTATGTGTATGTGTGTGTGTATGTGTATGTGTGTGTGTGTGTGTGTATGTGTATGTGTGTATGTGTGTGTGTATGTGTATGTGTGTATGTGTGTATGTGTGTGTGTGTGTGTATGTGTATGTGTGTATGTGTTCACAAATGAATTGAAATAAAGGTTTTTAAGCGAGGCAAAAACAAGTTGTTTCCAATAAATGATCAGTATTACAATTGATTATTCCTTTGCTGCATTATCATCTCAATCTTCTGTAGATTGAGATAAGTTATCAGAGATAAGTTATCAGTATTTGAATCGATGATTCAAATGAAAGCAACAAAACAGTTGCTGTTAGGAAGACATCAAATTTGATGTGTTTAAGGATATTATCTTGTGGAAGCGGAAGATAACACAGTTATCATTATATATATATTAAGCGGCTATCACTTTTTATTAAATCTGAAGTTGAAGCAAGCCAAGATAAGAATTAATAAAAATCTGTGATCTAAAGGATCAACAATTCATCGTGAGATTTTGATCAAGCATATTTGACAGCTAATATTAAGAAAAGTTTTTTGAACAATTAACTTGTTGTCTTCCTTTTTTTTTTTTTTTTTTTTGTTTTTCAGAATATTCGAGAGCTTCAAATGATATTTTTCTTAGGATTTGAAAAAAAAAAAAAATGCTGAAGCAATCATTTCTTAGCAAAAAATATTTGTTATCTCATTTAAAGAAATTTATTTTCAATGATTGCTTTTGTTGCTATTTGCTCTACAGAAATTGCCAGAGTATTTGGTCTTTTTGAAAGATCTGAAGTAACCTTGAAGGAGTGCCACTGTTTGCTTAATTTAGCAAACGTTTGCATTCTGCTAGATGACAAATGATCATCGATTTATAGTCGAATAGTTGTCTAAGTTTACATTTATAGCAGTCTGTGATAATCAACACAAATAAGCCAAATTTTTCATTCATTTATAAATAAACTTATTCAAAAATTTTCGGTGAAAAATGGAAAATAATTCCGGAAATGAATTTCCAGAACTATTATTGAAAAAAGAAAAAATTCAAAATTGCAGTTACCAATAACCAAATTTATTGCAATCTTCAAGATGGCAGATGAGATGAGAATGCTAACCGTCATATATGCTTATGCTTCTTAGCTTATAGCAAAGTTTATTTAATTTTATGAAGATTAGTTCACTTGCTGCCAAATTTTAAAAACCAAAATTTTATATAATTTAAGTAAGTTATTAAAATGTTAAAAGCAAAGGAATTTGGAGAAAATTAAAATTAAATTTAAAAAAAATATTTGAAATCTTGCTTGAATCAGCTAGCATTTCCACAAGACAGATGAACTAATGAAATGAGAATACTTTGCTATATTCTTGCAGAATGATCATCTATGACAAGTGCTGGTGATCTACAGGTGATAAATTGTCACATAGTTAGGCCACTGTGGAACAAAACAATTACTGTGTAGTTCGAGTTGTCGTTAGAAGTTCAGAGAGAAAAAGAGTAGATCCGAGTGACAAATAACATGAAGATAAGATAAGGCTAAAGGTCACATAAATATGACCTTTGTACTCTTTTATAGTAGATCTGACTGTAGCAGATCTCAATGATTCGATATTGATTGATAGCCAAGAAACGATTATTAATTAGTTTAAATGAGCTTGCATAAGTAGAGAGATAGCGATGGAAATATGTCACATATTGTATTTTTACTTTTACTGTTTCATTTTTGATTTTGAAATAATCTGCAAACTGATTTGGAGGTACCATTTCTAATCGTTTACTGCTGTTACAATATATATACTGATAAAACATAAATGACTGTAGTATCACTTCTATTTAATTACAGGTAAGATTGTGATCTATGCTCAATTGTCGTTTCTTTTTTGGCGCTCAAGTAATGAATTTTGATACAAATCACTGATATTTGTGTTCTTATCATAACATAACTAATGATGACATTACAACTTTATACCAACAACAAGTGATAACTGATAAACAGATTGTAAAATTTTGAATTTAAATCGAAAAAATTAAATGGCTAATCATAAGCAGTAACAGTTATTTCCGGTAGTAACTTTTTGATCTTATTCCATATTCATTTATAATAAGTTTCCGTAACTCCTCTAATCCTTCTGTTTCGGACGGATTATCTGGGATGGCTACAGAATGCGCTCGTCTGTAAAGATTGAATATAAAATGGATTAGTGAAGGGCGGTAAGTGATAAGCAGGAAAAGGATGCAACAGGTGTGATAGCTCTTATCTCTTACTATTAATGACTATGACGTAAACTATCTTTGCTCAACATTTAATTCCTTCTTCTTGTCTTATCTATTAACAAAATTTTTCTCCATCGTTGCATTTTATTGTTTTCTTCTTCACTCAGACTATTCTCATTTCAGAAATGTTTGCATCATTCTTTCATTTCTTTTTTCTAATTTGTTTCACGGATATTTCATTCGGAAAAGTGAAAGAATCTATTGATTTTACTACTAGAAATGGTTATAATTTACATGGATGCTACAAACGAACCGGAAAAATTTACATGTATAAGTAAGTTCATTCTGTTCAGATTATTTTCACCGAGGGCATTTTCATTTAGTCAATTATTGTTAACAGATAAATGTGAGGTATACATTTCGGTTCATTAATTTATTTTTCTTTTCTAATCCACAATAAGACAAATTGTGCAAAAAAACATTCATCCGAATTAAGGATTTTTGTTTTAACCGAAATAATTTCCGCTTCATTAAAGAAAATCTAATTTTAGAAGTTACGCACGACATTACGAAAGAAACAATTATGATTTCGAAGACTTACCTATAGCTTGGGATTGGCGTAACGTAAATGGCGTCAATTACGCTAGCGTTGATCGAAATCAACACATTCCTCAATGCAAGTCTTTATTTTTCCCGAAAATGAAAATTACCAGAACGGTAAGCGGTAACTGGTGAAAGTTGTTATTGTCTGTTATCAATTTCTTCGTGATGAAAACTTTCAACGTTGATGAGAATTTGAATTCTTCACCTCCTTTAAGCCTCATTAAACTGTCATTGTTTCCTTTGAAGAGTAGTACTTACAGCTTCTGCTTTCATCTTTATTATTGAATCCGGACCGTTTCCTTAGTAAATTTTGACAAGTATCCGAACTTCTAAATTCATTATAGTGTACTCATTAGCATAATCTAAGCTAACAATAGATGTGAGAGTTCAAATCTCAAAATATAAACCTATACGTTGGTGTACAATTAGTGTTGTTTACTGTTCCTTTTTTATGGTATGGTATGGTTGAGTTGAAATGACTGGCATTCCTTACCTTCTCAATTTCATTTTGAAAACAGTGTTACGAAGAGAAGAAGAAGCTATTTCCTTATTTGAATTCAATAGAGAATTTAGCTTAGCATCTGTTAAGCACTCATTGCTCAAAAAGTTTTGTGGAAGAATCGAGAACTCTAAAGATGAGAAGCGTACTGATAGATCACCGCAAGTTCACAGGTCATCACTAGCATCAACGATCAAATCTGATCCTCCTATAAACTATTCGAGAAGATGCATCTAGATATGCTTGAATACCTCAAGCATCTGATAACTTTGTTCACGGACTAGTAGGATGCTGGCAATGCTTCACAAGAATTCGTAAATTCAAATTCACACTCCAAAACCTACAAAATGTTTTGTCTCATTTATTGATGCAACTTTTCCTAACTTTTTTTCATTTTGAGATTATAAATGGTAGTTTTGGAATTATTTTTAGCTTGTATCTTTGCTAATATTTTAGTCCTTAGCAGCTAAAATATTTCAAAAAATTTCAGATTGTGGGTCGTGCTGGGCTTGCGGTAAGTGTTTCCTTTTCATTCTGTGCATTATCATTTTTTCATAAGTTTACTCTCTTTTTACATGATATTTCAACCTTTTACCATATTAGACGAAACTTTGGAGATAAAGAATCCATGGATATATAAGTGCATCAAATTTAGGTGCAACAAGTGCACTGGCCGATCGTTTCAATATTATGCGGAAAGGAGCATGGCCATCTGCGTACCTTTCTGTCCAAGAGGTCTCTCTTAAAATTGCTGAAAAGTCTTTGTATGTTTTACGGATAAAAGCGGATGCCAAATTAAGCTGTAATTCCGTAATTGAAATTTTTAGATTATAGACTGTGCAGGGTCAGGTAGCTGCGAGGGTGGCGAACCTGGTGGCGTTTACAAATATGCACATGAAGTTGGCATACCACACGAAACATGCAACAACTATCAAGCACGAGATGGAAGTATGGAGACTCCAATAGTTCATTTTTCACTTTCAAACTTAATTCTGAATTTAAACCGTAAACTGATCGGTGTAGCAAAACTTTCAAGCAATTGCTTAGATTATAAGATTCCCATTTAACTAGTAAAAAGAATGAATGAGTCAATCAATCGTATGCGAAATAATGTAGTCATTTTAAGCCTGTTCACCGTATAATAAGTGTGGTTCTTGTTGGCCTGGTTCATGCTTTTCGATCAGTAATTATACCAGATATAAAGTGGACAATTACGGCGTTGTTTCGGGTCTCGAAAAGATGAAGGCAGAAATTTATCATCATGGTCCAATCGCGTACGTTTTGAGTGTAACTGCTGAGATGTAAAATCACGCAAACTAATAATTTGAATAGTAAGCAACAATTTGTTGGACAGGGTATAAATTTAGAAAAATCTACTCGAATAAACGCATCATTCTTGATGTCCGCTTCAATTAGAACATTGCTTAATAGATTACAGAAAAATTCAAAAATGATTTTTTCCAAATTGAATGTCTGGATCTAAGTGAAAAGCTTCTAAAAAAAAAACCTTGAAATCGTTGTTGATATTATTAGATTAGTCAACCAACAAATAGTTTGTAATGTATCAGATGTGGTATTGCTGCTACAAAAGCATTCGAAACGTATGGAGGAGGAATTTATAAGGAAAAAACGGAAGAAAGCATTGACCACGTCATATCCGTTCATGGTTGGGGAGTTGACCGCGATTCTGGTGTACCATACTGGATCGGTAGGAACAGCTGGGGAACGCCATGGGTATGTGTTAGATTTGTCACTTCCAACCATAAATGGAAGATTGATTGTCAATGGCTTATAAACCTTATAATTCCAACTCAACTATGACTTTGAATTACTAGATTTGGAAGTGACAAATCTTGTGATAATATATTTTCTAGAAAAATATCAAATACAACTTTAATCTTGGCAGTGAAATGTGGATCAAAGGTTGGTCATGGTCCAAAAAGAATTAAAATGAAAAATGAATAATCGTTGTTATGAAAAATACAATCTTCTGCTACGCCACTCTCTTTTAAAAATGATAAACTTTTAGGGTGAAAATGGATGGTTCCGAATCGTAACATCTGAATACAAAAATTCCGGTTCGAAGTATAACCTGAAAATCGAGGAAGATTGCGTTTGGGCTGATCCAATTGCATAATACGTTTTTTATTTTGTCTTATTTTCCTACTGTTTACCAATGATAACTATCAGTCATAAAATTAAACATGTTTTCTTGATACTTACGTAATTTGCACAGAAGACAACGAGCATAACTTTGAATAAAGACATTAATAAACATTCGCATCAAATACCTTCTGAAAATTTCCTCGAATTCTGCAAATTCTGAGATAAAAATCTTGAGTCGCCGAAAAATGGTATCGTTCTGTGGCATTCCAAAAAATCGATAAAAACTTACATGACATGCATACCCTCAAATAGATATGTCGTCTAAGTCATGAAAAACTTCCAAAAGAATTTCTCGAGTAATCTCGAAGATTATTGGAATTGGCTGTTTTATACAGTTTATTCATCAATCAAATGCACAATGTAATACAATATAATCCCCACTTCTTGAATTTCCCCTTTTTTCAAATTTCTAATTCAATGGCTCATATCACAAACATGAAAGCAACAAAATTCTCAAATCTAAGTACAAATTCTAATCAAAATTTCACATCTTCGCATCCATAAGTAATTGCTGCGATTTGGCAATCCCTCTTTATGTTGGTGGCCAACCAAGCTGACGTCCGCCCATCACATGAACATGAAGATGATAAACGCTCTGACATCCATGCTTCCCATTATTGATAACTACTCGATAGCCATCTTCCAATCCCAGTTTACTTGCTGTTTTAGCTGCAGCCACCAACAGCTTCCCTAATATAGTCTCGTCCTGTAATTTAAATGTAAAATTTACACTAAATGAATTTATTACACTCTCTGCGTAGTCATAAAAACCTGTGAAATCTTTTAATCACTTTCAAATCTGAAACCAATGAAACAGAACCAGTAAAAAAACACCCTATTTCATGATCTCGATCTATTCATCATGATCTCAAGATATATCATACAATATTGATCACCCTAACTTATTTGCCCCAGAAAGTTAGTATTTTCGCTTGCAGACCATTCACTATCCTATAATGGGATAGTTATTCTTCACTACCAATTTTTTCTTTTCCTTAATGTGTGTTGTCATCCTTAGTCTCTAAGAAGTAATAAGTAGTAGGCAGTAAGCTAACAGGTCGGGTACTAAGCGTGATATACTACTAACCGAACGTAGTAAAATGAAAGGCCGAGCGATCAGATAATCTCAACTCAATGTAGTAATCACTAACTGTAAGAAAGCACCAAAACCTGATCCTCGACGTCTTGCAGCATTGCGATTGATTTCTTAGGTATTACGAGAAAATGTACTGGTGCTTGTGGACTAATATCATGAAAAGCCAGAACCTAAAATTTAATGAGTTATAGACCATATGAAATCGAAAAGAAGGCAGATTCAGGGGGATGAAATGCAAAAACTTTACTTTTCTAAGCTTGGCTGAGGAAAATTAGGAAGACATTTTTTATGCAAATAAAAACAAAGGTCTTTCTAAATACCGTGACTTACTTTTTTTTGAACAATATGCCACAAATTATATTTTCCCCATCACTGTGAACTATAGTTGTATTTTTGGAAAAATCGGAAGCACCGACATGAAATCAAAAAACACAAGGGTATATATTAGTTTAAAGTACTGAAAAGTGATGAACAAAACCGTAACGGGAGACTACAATCTCAAGTCTGTCTGCTACGATTCATTCTTATACTGGGAGATCTGTAAGTCATCACTGAAACTAATTTTGGTGAACTTACATTATCATCCTCCATAATGATGTTAGCAGGTATTTCTTTACGAATAATTTTTCCGAAGATTGTATCATCCTTCCGACCAGCTTTCTGAGCTTTCTCCACTTCCGATTTCATTTTTCTTAACATACAAGTGTGCCATTGTTGTTTTTGTTGATAAGTTTCACAAAATTTAAAATTCCGTTGGGAGAGTAAGCATAATGCTCGCGTTGTCAGCAAGAATGACATGACGAAAAATTGACTTCAAAAAAAAAAAAAAAGGAAGGAATGGGTGTTAAAATTGTTTGTTGAGATAAACCTTTTGAAATAGTCAAAATGTTAATTTCCACCCCTTCGACGAGTAAACAGATGTACAATTAGTATAAAACGTATAACTTATTGTTATTTGCATTGCATATAACCAGACAAGATGACTAACTTATGAAAGTTTTCGGCTATCATAAGTTCACGTTTTGCGTGACTAATATCACGGAATGGAGAGAGTATCAAACCCTAGTCACACCCTAACTACCCTTATTCATTCAAACTCATTGAACAACTCCGATGATGCTGGGGCGGCGTCCGCTGCTTACTTTTCTGTAAGGCAAATTCCTAAAATATGTCCATTAATAATATCCCTGGTGGCTAGTTCAGTTCTTGTTGGCGATAGTCTGTGCAATGGAATCGGTCTTTGTTCGAGATAGCACTGTCTAACATTTGTGTGGTTTCTGTGCTCCTGATAGCAGTGATATCAGTAATTAGTTCAGAAATTTTCTGTAACGTTGCATTTCTCATTAAAGGCTTAAAGTTTTGTTCACTAGAAAGAAAATCTGTTGGAAAAATTGGTGAGAATTTGCTCGTAGAAATGGCCGAAATATGTGAGACATCATCGTCATCATCAACAGATAGATGGAGCGAAATGGATGTCGCATCAAAGATCTGTTCCTTAACATATCGTCCTCCAACATTGGGTGATAAGATATTCAAGGATGAGTGTATGTATTGCTTCAAGACTCCTCTCCATCCAGGTAGATATTCATTTATGTTTTCAGGATGAAATATGATTCAGCCTTTCTTAGCTTGAAGCAATAATTTAGGCAAGCACTGATAGTAAAGTTGTAGTAAAAAAGATTAATTTAAGCGAAAATAAAGAAATAAGCTGTAATTGTTAAATGAATCATAAGCCGAAAATTTTCGGATAAAAGGCAAATGTATAACTGGAATGAATAAATGTTAGGATATTATTTTTTGATATCGCTCATTAACAGGCCGAAATTTGTTTTTGTAGTATGCATTACTCTCTATCCCAAAGTTAGTTGTTGAAATTAATCTTAAGAATTTCTTGGCAAAAACTTCCTGAATAAATCTTAAATGAACTGAGATATCCTGGAACTATCTTTTGGATTTTTGGTAAATTTTTATGGATCTAGTGAATTTTTCTGGTGAATCACATTGGTAAAAGTAGAAATATGAAAATGTAAGTAGTTTCAGGTGGGTTATATGTTTGTCTGGAAGGGTTTTCTGGATTTTGTATTGATCATGCGATGGGTTATTATAAGCGGACGGCACGAAAAGGTTTTCTGTGGTGTAAGCAAGTTAAAAAGATGCTACCAGAAGCCGAAGAACCACAAGATAAAGTTACCAAGGTTTGTGAAATACGATTCAATATACTAGGTTTAGAAGAAATTTGTTACTTTCTCTCTCTCTTTCTCTGTTTTTCCTTATCTTCTGCCTGTCCGTCTGTTTCTACTTATATATAGATATGTAAGGTCAGCTAAAATTTATGAAATCAGTATAACAGCTACTAAACTAGTGAATTGTCGCGGGACGTCTGGTGAATTTCGTAATTATTCTGGTCAATATGATCTTGGAAAAGCCGCTGTTTAAGAAGTCAGGACAATTTGGGAGAGAAACTGTCAGACTATTTTCAAGAAGCAAGATGGCTGATGAAAGAATTTTCGTGCTTCTATTACCTTTTTATAACCTACCAAAAATCGTACGTCAATGAATAGTCTTCACAGCGTGTTGCACTGTGCATTTCATTGTATATGAGATTGTAAGATGACTTTTGAGAAATTACCATTAAAAAATTAAATATCCCTGCTTATTTTGTTCTTTGTTATGAAGTAAATTATTAAGTGATGGATCGTTATCATTTTTTGCAAAAAAAAAAAAAAAATTATGGATTGATAACATGTACGTATCATTCACGTTATCAGTTTCAATGAATTTTAAGTGTTTTGATGGGCTATGTTTATTGCAGCTTGCGATAGGTGTTGAAGGAGGCTTTAGCTCTGGTCCGAAATATGAGATTGAAAGTGAATATGCAGTTGTACTTCTTCCAGATTTCGATACAAAGGTTCCCCTTAGCAGGTTTGTTTTTCACAGTGTTTCATGTATATGAATTTGGGATCAGCAGCATTTAATGGTAGAATTGCATATAACTGCAATTACTTTTTCCAGACTTACACCGAAATTGACAGAAGTTTGCCAGATAATTATCGAAAATGAAGGGGTGCAAAGACAGGAGATAATAGAAGAAGGAATTAATGTTTGGGAAGGTGAAGCGCGGGTGAATACAAGGCATTTAAATTTGGAACAAGTACGTAGCTTTCTTTAAAAATTTTTTCTATTGTTAACAATGTGGGTCTTGATTTACAAGTGGTAGGCGCAGTTCTAAAGATTGTTGGTGTTAAACGGCAGTCGAAATTAACTGGTTTTTACGATCACTAAAGTCATTGTATTTTCGCTTTTTTGACGAAATTTAGCAATTTTTGATAAATTTCATTTGTAAAGATGGACAACGGAAAGAGAATACCTCCGTGGGGTTGGAAATGTGAAGAAGAAGGATGCGATCTTAAGGAGAACTTATGGTTAAATCTAACTGATGGTGCAATTATGTGTGGCCGTTCGCAGTTTATCCAAGAAGGAGTAATGAGCAAAGGTCGAAATCATGCGCGGCTACATTTTGACTTGTATGAATTACTATAAATGCTGATCTTTTGAAAAAAGCTTTGTTGCCTTTGATTTATTGTTGGAGTACGATTTGTTCAATTGGAATTAAAATTTATGTACAAGGCATTTAAAAATCTGTATGATATAAGCGGGTGGCAGGGCATCAGACTTCTGTAATTAAATGAACTCATTTAACTATATTTTGCATGTAATAAAACATTATTTAAATAGTTATCGAAAAACATAGTTCTTTGCAAAAGATGGGTATGAAAAGGATTTTTGTTTATTCGTGGTGCATTTTCAGGACTGGTTATCCTTTGGTCGTGAAATTAGGTACAATTACGAAAGATGATGCAGATGTGTTTAGTTACGATGAAGACGAATCAGTTCGTGATCCGAACTTGAAAAAACATTTGATTCATTTTGGTATTGATATGGATAAAACAGAAAAGACTGAAAAAAGTACACTTGAAATGGAGCTTGACCTTAATCAGAAGTAAGTGTTGTGTTTTTTTCTGTTCAGAGTTCGATCCGAAGATTACTAAAATTGTCCGGTTACCCAGTATAGTACGCCTTAGGATATTGGACAATTGCACGCCGGATACGATCGGTTGTCAAATTTAGTTTTTTACTGGTAGGCTCTCTGTGATTTACACTTCTGATCTTCCTCGGGGTCAACATGCAGCCATGTCACCTTGGCTTGCATTGAAAGCTTCCGAAGGTGCATCCTGCCTATTCCGATATTGCTCAGTTATTGCCGTTGTCATACCGTGACTAAGTGTCCAGGTCAGATTTCATGGAAATTGATTCGATAAAATATCGAGAAGGATGTGCCAAAAATGTCTTTCACAGTGCTTTGCTTTTTAAAGATGGGAATGGGAGATGTGTCAGGAGGATGGTGCAAATCTGGAATTGGTCTATGGCCCAGGCCTTACTGGAATCATAAACATTGGCTCATCTTGTTATATCAGTGCAGTAAGTGCCATTTCTCTGTAATTCTATTTTTCAATTCATATGGATTCCTTGTGTGTTTTCCGGTAAGTATTGTACATTCATTGCAAAACGGTTTGTTCTTCATTCATTATCATGTAGGTTCTTCATCTGCATACAGGTTTTTGTAGTGCATACAGTTTAGTTGTAGTCAGTTATAGTTATACAACTCGCAAAGCTATTTCAACTTAATTCTCATTGAAAGACTAGTGGAAATGTCATAACATATGCAAAAGCTTTTGCTACTTTTAGACACTACAAATGCTGTTACAAATTCCTGATATCGTACAAGCTTACGGAATAGAATGCGAAAAACATTTCCTCAACGTTGCAATACTCGATTCTCATTATGATTTCAACTGTCAGACAGCGAAAGTATTTTCGAGTTTATTAAGCGGTGAATTTTCCCAAGTAAGTAATTATATTTGGTGTAATTATAAGTATTTATAAATTATATACACAATCACACATCCGTTGTTTTGTCTCCTGTTTCATATTTAACTGTGAGGTAATTTCAGAAGGACAGTGACTGTAACGGTATCAAACCAGTACAATTCCGGAAAATAGCATCAAGAGGAAATGCGGAATTTTCAAGTACACGACAGCAAGATGTTGATGAATACATAAGGTTTTTTGAATTTTAAAAGAAATAAAATGCATTGCCATTTCTTTTTTTAAAAGGATTTGTATTACAAAAACATTCTGGAACATGACAAATACGTACTGCTTCTTGTGAATTTTTTGGGAAGGAAAACATTTTTTATAGTTATGTAAAAAGATTTTCTACCAGTAGAAAATAAAGGACTTAGGCGAATTACGCCAAGACAAATTTTCAAATTTCATATAGTGATTAACTTATTTGTTTCTTGGAAATGATATCTGACATTCAAATAGATGACACATAGCATTCAGGTAGTAATTTTTTGAGTTCTAATGTTTGCATCGATTTCTCTTTTCAGATTACTTTTTGACCGAATCGATGAATTTATGAAGAAACCGAAACCAGTTGATGCAGTGCGATTTAAACTAGAGCAGCGTTTAGAAGATAAGGCAACGAATAGAGTCCGTTATAGTTACACAGAAGAAGTAGTACTTTCGTTGAATGTACCAGAGAAAAGTGTTTCTGAACAACCCGTAGTATGTTTTTTTCAAAAATTCTTTTCTTATATTTCTGCTATAAAGTCAAAAGATAAATATATTCGTTCGCATCTTGCAATAATGAGTGGTCTTACGGTCTTACCATAGTTTAGATAATAGAAATAAATCATATTTCTGGGTTTATCTGTATCCATTATACTACTAATGAGAAAATGTCGAGTTGTAATTTTTAAGATGTTAATGGCTTGCATAAATGCATCGGTACTCAGGAATGTGTTGCATTCGAGGCATTAAGACAGCATTGTCAAGCAGTTGAAGTGAACTTTTAAAGTTGGTATCTATATTTTAGAAAACATCAGAAACAGAGACACCAATACGACCTACTGTGTCATTTGCTGAATGTTTGTCAGCAACATTTGGTAAGCAGCACATTGATGATTTTCGATCGCCGATAACGGATGAAGTGAAAGGAGCCATCGAGCAATACAGCATCGCCACGTTTCCGGATTACCTAATCATACAGCTTAAAGTTAGCATCAATCTTTTTCTAAAAAAAATTTTTTTCTCCAGAACTACCAATTTTTTTTCCCCTCACAGAAATTCACCTTGGCAGAGGACTACAGTGTGAAAAAGTTGGATGTCAATGTAGAAATGCCAGATGAAATTAATTTGGAAGCAATTCGTGGCTATGGGAAACAACCTGAAGAGATGTTGCTACCACACGCATCTGCTAAATCGGAGTTAACGTTGGGTCGACCGTTGCCTGGCATAGATCCTGCTGTTTTTGAGAAGGTTACTATTTAATTAATTGCAAATAATTTCGACGTAACAAAAATTGGTAGATTGTTGAATTACACGGTTGAATAATTCCCCTTCATGAATGGTGTGGCTGGAAGTTGAGGCTGCAGTAGTAGGTAGATTTCCAAAAAAGAAGTTGTATAAGCTATTGGTAATTAAAAGGTCGTAGTGCTTACTTATGGGTTTTCTTGAAGTTTAGCTCTGTAAATCAGGTATTACACCGGAAGCTGCACGTCGTGCTATTCACATAACCAAGAATACTGGTTTCGATGCAGCATTAGATTGGTACATGCGTAGTGTTGGTGATAGGGACATCAACGAGGAGCATCCTGACTTGTGGTCAAAGGTCATCGCGTTGCGAGTTTTACAATTAACATCTAAGGCAGTTGTATTTAGAAGAATTAAAATAAATAGGAATATTTTGAACTATTGGAAATGAGCATTCCATTTAACCACTGCCATTTACAGTTTATACCAGGAAATGGTCTCATGGAAGTTAGTATATTTTTTGGAATTCGCTTTAAACTGTTTGAGATGTAAGAGTTTCCTTAACAATTCTCGAAATATGACCATCATTGCAGGCAAGTGATATTGACGGAATAGCGATTGAACAACTTACAAATCTCGGATTTTCTGTTTATCAGGCACGTTATGCTCTTCAAAAAGTTAATACTGGCATAAATGATGCAGCTGATTGGCTTTTTTCGAATGTAGACACCATACCACCTGAGAGGAAAGATGAGGAGATTAAGGGTAAGCAAAACTAGCAATATTCCTTATGTATAGTAATAGCACTTATATTTTAGCACTAATCACTAATAACACACGGGCTGATTAATACTCCAGTTGTAGTTTCAACGAGAAATCATTTGTGCATGAATATTAATTGATAACACATTAAAAATTACTGACTTTCTTTTTATTTGAAGATTACTTTTTTTCGGTAGAAGTACCAAAAGAATGCCGTGATGGAAAAGAGCACTATCGTCTAATTGGTTTCATATCACATATGGGAAGCTCACCACTTTCAGGGCATTATGTTGCTCATATGAAAAAAGTAAGTTATTCGTACGTTGCAGAAATCTTATGTTATATAGTAACAGCAATAATAATAAATATACATATATATTAAATAAAAGGTCACTTTAGGATTCAAAATGGTATCTATTCAATGATGAGAAAGTAGCTCTATCTCAAAATCCACCAACAATGTTGGGTTATGTTTACCTGTATGAACGATGTTGTGATCCCGAAGTGATTCCATGTGACGAATAACTTCATTCAATGATTGGTCTAGAGAGTTTATGTGCTATTGCTGCTTTTTTATTGTTGGCTTTTAATTTTCACGTTTGCTTTTTTTCATTGAGTGCTGGAAAATTAAGTGCCAATATTACTGTGAAGAAATTCCGGAATTTCAGGACATAAATATGTCATCCCTACAATTTCTTTCCTGTGAATAACCCACTGATTTCTTTTTTATTTATGAAACTTTTTTGAGAACATATTTCAATCAGGCACAGACGAAACCTAATGAGACTGAATGGTATCACTATCTCCAAATCAGCATTCTTATGCTTAGCTGAAAAACTGTAAGAAATATGCCGTAACATTTTATAATATACGAAACTTGAAGCTGGATTTTAGCCTTTAGCTTCTTCCAATTGATACTTCTTTGCGAGGTTCGAGTTAAGCAAAATATTGCACGTTAGGACTAATTAAAGAAGGACTGATTAATGACATTTTGGACTTCTTATGATTTTTCGAGAATACAAAATGAGAGAGAGAGGGTCAGTCAGGTTTCTCAACAACCGAATTATAAGATTGCATTATAGCAATTCGTCTTTATTTGGGAGATAATAGGAGATAGACTGAATTCAGAGCCTTAATGTTCCATTTAATACTGAGAGGATTCACCGTTATTTTACAAAGTATCGAAATAACCCATTGTTAATGTTTTAGAGGAATTCATAGAAAACGTATTCATTTAGAAAATCCGACAATATACATAAGTTAAGGGCGAACCTTTCCCAGCAATTATTTTAAATGGTTTGCAACCGGAGACCAAAGAGTCACTTCCTTTAGTTCAGTGATGAAGTGTAACAATTCAAGTTGTGATCTCCTTCTTCGAACTTCGCATTCTTAAAGAAATTTACGAGTTAAACATTGATTTCTTCCGTCCGTTCTGAACTTGCATTCATTTTCCAAATGCCTGTCATGGTGACCATTTCCATTAATTCTTTATGCTTCTTTGGTCCATCAGCAATCGTCTGTTGCTTTTTTAAAATATTACTCTGCGCTTTGCGTTTTTCCTTAATTCCATGTAATAGTGTTTTTGTTTCTTCATTCGTTACAGTGCCCACATTTTGTTTCCCTTTCCATTTTTCCTCTCTGGACGTTACTGTTTCTTCATTTTGCTTTCCTCTCGAAAACGTATTCTAAAGCAGAAAGGTAAAACTTCATATTCCTCACATAAGCTTTAAAAGATTCCCAAAGTCCTTATTTTTTGCTAATTATTTAGCTTAACAAAAGTAAGGATGTTACTTCATGGTTATTATTCTACCGATTTAGGCACTGCCTCACGTTTGAAACACCCTAAGTACTAAGCAAAGCGAGTCCGTTGATCTCTTTTCAACAATAAATTAGGAGTATTCATAAAATATATTAAAAGACATGCTTGTAGTTTCGTGCTATTGTCATCAGTTTTGAACTTCTCCAGATTTTTTAAAGCAATTTCCACTCTTTCATTATCTGAAAAAAATTCTCTTAAATTTTTAACTATCCCTCTCTCCTTTAGAAGTGAGATTGTTTAAAAAGAAAGCTATTTTACCATACCGAGAAGAGACTGAAGTAATGGAACCTCATTTCATTATCTCCTGAAGTAATAAGTAAGTCCTAGCACTGTAAAATGTTTGTTCCATAAAAAAAGCGAAGAGCATTTATAAATTTTTTAGCACCTACTACATAGATGCTGGATTTAACACGCATATTTACATCTTTAAAAAGTAATGCGATATTTCTAACTATAATTTCCAAAATTTCGAAAATGTCTTTTTTAAAAAAAAAACCATTAAATTAGGTGGGATTCATCTAAAAACAACCTATTTGTTTAGGTAGAATAATATCAACAACATTCGTCTCCTGTTCTGTATGTAAAACTGCCCATGTACTTCCGATGAGCATAAGCGAACCGATTATTATCGATACCTGAAAATCTTACTATGAAAAGAAAGCAAACACACAAAATCCCAAGTGCCACTGAAAAATTAGGTTTAAATTTTCAGGAACGAAGTGTTAATTGTGAAATATAAATTGCGACTAAACGAAACGAAATCCTACATTCACTATTTGAGTTTTTTCACATACTTTTGCATAAAACATCAAAGCACGATATTGTTCGATGCCACGAGATATTGATAAAAATAACAGCGATGGAATGATGATCGTTACAAGACAGCCAATAGTTGCACCCGTTATTCCGAGAATAAATTCAACTGAAGATTATCTCAATCACTATCTTTCCGACTTAATATTTAAAAATCTCAATTTTTACACTCATACATCAATTAATACCTGGACAATCTTGACATTATTAGAAATGACAATATTATTTAAATTACTATTTCTTTTAAGCAAAGAAATAAAATTCATCCTCATATTAATGAATTCCTTAGCCAAAGGAAAACGTAAAACATGTCAATGCAATCACGAAACATTTGCTGCACGTCAAGAACTACTTGCGTTTCTTGCAAACGATGTAAGCCGATTCCTCCGATAAGATTGTGTGCAAATAATATGCAGCGAAGGCAACTGATCAGAACAAAATTATTGAGGACAGAAAAGAACCAAACATGGTGACTGATGCTCCATGTAAATGCACGTCAATGTTGGAATAATAATTACGTCGAAAATCCGAAAAACTTCTATCAAATCACTTTTTCTATCACAAATACAGTCCGATTACCTTCCGCAGTACGAAAAATTATTTTTTGAATTGAAAGATTACTACTAAGGAAATGAGTAGGAAGAATTTTTCCTCTCGGCACAACGTTATTAATGCTGCTCTAAAAAGGGGAAAACGATGAATCGATTCTGAAATTTACCTCTTTTTCCCTTAAAAAGTATAAACATACCATTCGGTACAATTACTGCAGCTAATAAACACGAAGACAAGAGAAATACTGTCAATGAAACAAATATTAACGAAGGCATACGTAGCATAGCGTATTCACAAGCATCCTGTAAAGCGCGTAGGAAAAAATTCAAAGAAATTTTTTATGATATTTCCAGACTTCATCTTTTTACTTCTCGAGCCTTATCTCCGGTGCTCTTTAAAAAATCATTCATAAATTCTTCGAGAAATCCTGAATCTTTTCTTCATTTCCCTCTGATGCTTCCCGCTTTTCAGGAATTTATGTCTTTCTTTATCCTTTCAGAGATCATATCACCTCAAACACTTCAAGATATCTTCTTCAATTTGATTTCATGATTATCCAATCAAGAGTATCACTAAAAAATACCGATTTCAAGAGATTATAGAATGCAATTCGACTTGGAAACAGCATAAGTGGGATACTGACGGCTACCGATAACATGAAAGCTAGTTTCATTAGCTGGGTCAGTAAAGAACTTTGCAGATATAGGAGAATATCGCCATATAATTCAACATCGTGAAAAGCAACATATCCGAATAAACCAACAGCTGCGTACATACTACTACAGATATTCACTGCTCCAGAAACTACTGTATCCACCTGAATTTTACAGCTAAAACTATTCGTTAATTTTAGGTAGTAGAAATTCAGTTTGAAATTAACTCACGAAAATATCTAAGAAATTATGGATACAAAGTACTTGAAAAGGGAAACTAGAAATTTATTTCTCATTTTTAAATGAATTTTGTTCCATTTTTCAGTTAAATGAAATAATTTATGTTAGAATTCACCTAGCATGAATTTCATTCGTTTTTTTAATCTTGCTAGACAACTTATTTGCTTAGAATAAAAAAAGCTTTTCAGTATTCTTCAATGTCGTTAAAAGAATTATGCAGAAAAGTTGGAGGAATCAAAGAATCATACGCTGTATGAAAGTATAATGTAATATCTTGCAGTATGTATCTGTATTCACTAATTCCATGAGGTAACTTTTTCTTTAGAATAAAGAAAGAAATCGAAATAGAAAGTTCACCTAACAAAAACTGTACCTTAGCAGCCGATGGTTCCGTTATAGATTCAGTGACACAAAACAACTGCGTCTGACATGACAGTGCCATTGAAATGATGGGTAAGCTAAAAAAAAATTCAGAACTTTCTCGATAAATCATTACAAACTTGTCACTAAAAGAATAAAAGTCAAAAGACATTTCACCTAAACCTTATAAAAAGTAGGAAGAAGGAAATTTTCAAAGTTGCCCCAAACTAAAATGAAACTAACGAACTTTTCCTTCTAAATCTACAAATGAGTTACAATTAATGATTCAAAAATGGTTAGCAGGGATTGTCTCACTCGATTCATCAGGTGTGTAAGTCCTGCCTTTGAAAAAAATTAACTACATTTACGCAATACTGAATAAGTAAACAAATAAATAACCTGGTGAGTAAACCTTCTTGCCGCCACCATCGTATATCAGTGCTCCAATTGCAGTTGAAAATCCGTGGAATGCATTCAACTAACATGCGTAATACAAATAAGCCGTAAAAGAATACGGTTACTGAATTAATTTTCGATAGACTAGTCACGCTGCGGAATAGTGATAATGGCAATATAACAAACAAAAAGATTACAACCTGAAATTTCAATAAAAGAATTCGATAAATTCCAATATCCACTCTTCAAAACAAATTTGATATGATTAAAATTTTACATTTGTCAAATTTCGTACACTTAAAACCTTTCAATTTTAAAATTAAGTTTTTAAGGGAAATTTTTCGAATAAAATGAGAAATTAAAAATGAAATAATGAGAAAATAAAAAACAGCTCACCATAACAAGAATTCGCAACCTTTGAGTAGGTGCTTGTAATTCCAAATAATCGGCCAGTACATGAGGACCAATATCACCAATAACAACCATGAACGATATAACACACGACATTAAAAATAAAATCATGAGCAACTGCAAAATAAGATGGCTTCAATTTGAATAAGACAAGATAAGATTTAAAATTCAATTGCTTCAAAAATATGAAGAAAACCTGAAATTACAATTCCAAACCAAACAATATTGGTACACTTGTAGTGTCTTCAAATATTAATGTATTAAAAAAAAGGCAAAAGGAATTGGATATAATTCCGGATACAAATTATGCCATAATAAAAATATAACCAAAATATAATCAGTGATTCAGTGAAATATAATCATATAGTCAGTATTAATGCAAGAACTAAATAGCAAGTTGAAAACTGAAATCAAAATTCTAAATAAACCACTAAGTCTCTTCACAGAACTTAAGTTTTTAATTAAACGACTGCACATTTCTAGCAAACAGTTACTTTAAATCAGAAATTTACAAAATGATGATAAATTTGCAACCTAGTGCATAGATAAATCGAAATTGACCTCAACTAAACGTTTTCCATTGCTACCAAAAGCATGCGATGCCATAGATTCATAACTCCGACGTCTGCAAATTTCGCTTTTTTGAAGTTTTTCTCACATTTGGAAGAACAAATTCAAATTAATAATTTAAAAACCTAGCTTTGAAATCGATTTTATTAGACTTTCGAAATCTCATTCGTAATTATCAAATTTCAAGAAAAAAAGGAACTCAAATGATTAGATACGTGGTTTCCAATCATCGCTAAAAGAATTCAAAAATGAACGAATTTCGAAGAAATATGAGCTATCTTCTTCGAGATGGAATTAAGAAGGAATGGAAAGTTGATGCATTTATGAAATAAGCTAGAGAAATGAAGTGAACTTGAAAATATTTATAGCAAATACATATTTATAATAAATATTTGCTTACAACAAAATAACATAGTATATAACCCAGTGGGCAATTAAAAAGTACGAGAAGGAAATTAAATATATAATTATGGATTCATACCTTGTCAGGAGCGCTCCTTGATACAACAAATGACAAGTAATTTTGGTCAATAGTGAACAAATTCCAATTAAAATGGTACCAAGCAAAATACCGCACTGGAAATGAAGAAATTGGAAAGGAAAAGAAATGAAAGAATGTGTTTTAATAAAATTGTGTCTGAATAACCATACAAAACTACTGACGCAACTATAAACAATACTTCCAAGTGCCGCGTATTAAGCGTCACGTGACAGCATAAAATTGGTTTTTTTTTTCGAATATAATAATTATGTGGTACCTGTAAAGACCTTTAATTTTATGATATGACTGCATGTTTTGTAATGAAAAACAATCTGTTTTATTTCATCTTACAAATTTACCCTCTCTTCATAATCCCTTTAATATGTGAGTGGAGAATAGACCCAACATGCACTACGTGAATTGAAATTTTCTTCAATACCTGCTGTAAGCAATACGGCATGGCAAGCATACTAACACCAACGATACAATTCGCAAGATTGAAAACATGTGGCCACTGGTTGAATTTCGATAAAAATGATCGCTCGATGCTCCTTTGGTCATCTCGGTCTTCCTCTTTCTTTAGTGCAGCATACATATTTCACACTATTCAACACTAAACTAAAATATCATGAATTTACTCTCCGTCATCAGTTCCATATGAAAAAGACATATTTCCGTACTATATTCTATGGTTCACGTGACACGACACGACTGTCACTGATTCAATACTCATACTTTAGCTCTACGTGTTGTCGTAAGCTGAAGTTGTCGCCATTAAACAAACAAAATATAATAATATTAAAAACTCGCTCACGTGACAATTGCAGAAATATGAAGTGCACGTCTCAAATGCAGAATGAACTATACATAACAAGCAACAGCACAATCACATACTCTTTCTTCCATTAAATACGGCATTTATCCGGAAGCAACGTAATGCCACGCTTCATGAAAAACGTTGTCTAATCTGCTACAGACGTGAGAGGATCATTTTGGATACAGAAACATTCCAACTTTTTAAAAAAAATTAGAATGGAAATTGTCCTTTATAACTGGTTGCATTTCACCTACTTAAAATGCCACATAACACGTGATGCACGTCAACCTACGTCACACTCACGTATTCTCATGTAAAAAAACACGTTTGTATTCGTCTTTTGCAAAATCGAGCAAAACACGTAGCGACTCATACGTTGCAACGTTAACAATTTATGTTACCCACTTAATAAATGAGAATATCATTAGACCCGTCTTTTGAGTTAGTATTATCGGTTGAAGATGACGTTTCGGCTCTTCAGTATACGGTCTTTCCGGAATTCTGTCAACTCTGTTAACAATTTGATCCAAACAATTTGATCCAGTTATTTAGAAATTTTTTTTTTGAGAAATTATTTGTGCTAAGTGCAGTCGATTTTGCTTGGAAAGTTTTTTTAAAGCACTGATCCGATGATTCGAGTAATCTTAGTGGATTCTGCTTTCGAGAGTTTTGATTGATGGATAGAGAAATAGATTCTACGAGTGAAGGAAGAAAAAAACTACGGAAGTGCTCGAATACTTTCACATGGCAAAGAGCGCCAACAGAAGACAATTTCGATTGGCATCAGCTGATCCACCGATTGTTTTCCTTGTTTTCTTGTTTCTAAATGATATTCGATCCACTCGACTTGACTCGACTGAACTCGAGAATACTCCTTTCTCTTTGCACCCATTAACATTCCACGTGTGTGCACGCTCCTTTGAACTTATCGTTCCAAATTTTACTCTCTGTGTATCTCAGTTTTATTTATTATTACACTCTTATTGCTATCTATTCACTCTCAGTATCATCTATTCAGGATGAGTATTTTCCAGGAGGTATTTAATTTATTCATTTTCTGTTCCGAAATGTTTTATCTTCATTGCAAACTTCATTTTTATCAAATATTTAGATAAAAATATTTTAACGTAACCGGAAAAGGTTACTGCAAGACAAGAATGACGTCATTGAAAAAAGTGTGACTTTTTAGATTGGTAAATTGGTGGATGATGCTACTTGGCGATACAGGGTACATGATGGATTTGATGTCACACCTAGCGACACTTTCAAACAAATCGTCTCCAAGGTGTAAGTGACAGATAGGAATTTTGTATTTACAACTTTATGACAACAGACTTGTGATAAAACTTTTTTTGAGAACTGAGCTTTCACCGTTCATCTCCATTTATGTATTATTTAAACAGTGAAATGTTTGTGCTTTAGAGGAGGACAGATGACCCTTATCATTTTTCCAGATTTTTTTTTGGTCATTTCGGTATCTATTCTTCTCAGATGCTTTAATTCTCAAGTCACAGCATGAAATTGTGATTCATTCTGGTGACTTTTCTTTTGTCCAGTTGCTAGCAATTAGATTTCACTGTCTCCAAACATAATCAAACTTGTTCAGGCTTAATGCGTTTTTCTTTTTCGGATTGGTCCTTGTTTCGCTTTAATTCCACATAAATGTGAAATGTAAAAGCGTTTCAACAAATCATCCACTTGAAAATTTAATTTGCCAATCTTATTTTCATACTTATAATCAAACAATTGGTTCAAAACTTTTGCGATAGGTTCTGAAATTTCTGAAAACAATTGGTTTGTATCTTTCTTCATTTCCGTAAAAAAGACTTTTGTTGAAACTCTCTCTTTCTCTTTCTCTTCTCTTGTTCATTCGAAGAAAAGCTTAACATTCCTAAGACAATTATTTTTTTATTAAATGATCTGTCAACAAAATTTCTTCTCGTTAAAAGCAGATAATGCAACATGTAGATTCTTCCCTGTCGAGAATGTTTGGAGAACAGCCAGTTACTATAGCCTTCGCGAAATGTATCAACCAAATTTGGGTGAATATCGCCAATCAAAAAGTTTCTCTTCGTTAGCACCAAGCAATGGAATACCTTATGAGTATGTTTTTGTTGCAATGTTATTGAATGAAATTTTTTTCTGCTTAAACAATTTTAGACAATTTTAACAAACATTGACTTTTCCCATCTATGCTTTCTGTCTTTGATTATTTACTGTTTTATTGCAAATGATTTGAATCATTTTTTCTCATGAAAATTTGTTCCAAATTCTATTTCAATGTGTTATTTTAATGTAAGAAGACGTGGAAAATATTGCACTATCATGGAGCATAAGTATATCCTTTACACATTAACAATGATAACGATATGCCGTGATTTTTGAAGGGATCGTGACACTCAACGATACTTTGGAACATTTCGAAGTTATGTGCCGAAACAGGCAGAATGGAAACTTGCACTGGAAAAGTACTCGAAGCCAAGAATTTACCGGAAACGTTTGTTGAAAACGAAGGCAGAAATGAACGAGGTACTTTTCTTTGGGCGTAGAGTGTATTCATGATGTAATGATTGACATTGAAGAAGCTAACAAGTAGACCGGTCGAGCTGTTTATCTTACCTGTTCTTCGAAATTCATTACTGAAACTATGAGATCAGTCAGATCATCAGAAATCAGGAATCAATCTTTTTTAATAAAAAGAAAGATTCAAGCTGTCACTAGCTGTCTCCTACATTTACATTTAGTTGGATACGTCATCTTTGTTCTGAGTCAACAAAGATGCAATCTTAGTACTTCATTTAAAATTGAGAAGGCTGGTTCAGGAATATTATTGTAGTAAATATTGTTCACTATGAAATTTCAATACTTTGGACGCTATAGGCTGTGTCTGAACTGAAACTAAAACCGTCCTATCAGAAGCTGAACGAATTCCCGACATCAACATCCAGAATAGATAATTATAATTTATATTGGCGAGGTAAGTTGATTATATTAGTTGTCATGTTTCATAAAATTAAACAAATAAAAATTTAAAAGGTTCGAAGGAAGGAAAAAATTTAATCAAATCTGGCACCAAGTTGAAAAGTTCTGAAATGTAAAACTTTTTTTCAGGTCGTTTGAATGGTGTCTTTGGGACAGGAGCATTATTTTATCCATCAAACTTCATAGGGGAGGAAGATCGACGATACGAACGAATCTATTGGGGCCAAAACTGGATGAATTACATAACACCGAGTGCAAGACATGCTACTAGTTTATTACTTTCAGCATACTGAAATGATACGACAGAAGAAAAATGCTGAAAAATTGAAAAAATAGGACAAGATGAAGCTAAATATGGCAAGTAAATACAAATTATTTATTTCAAGTAGATACAAATTATTTGTTTCAATCCTGTTCCTAATGAAAACTGTATTTTTGGGGTAACACTTAACAGATCTTGAATTATTCTGTCAAATGCTTACTGATTCAGTTTTGATATAATATAGGAAAACACTGCCGAATGAATATACACCTCTTTAAATTACATATTTTTACTTTTTCCGTTCGTTGAGGAACTACTTATAAACTAGTTGACTTTAATTGTTTGATTTATTTATTTTGATCGACTACTGATCCATTTTCCGGCATATACAACAACATTCTTAGTACTTCACTATGTTTCATCATGGAATTTGCGCTTGAATTTCATGTGTAGTGTCTTAATGAATAAAATATACAAAATTTGATTCATTTACAATGTAATAATTCATTTGCAATGCAAGTTGAATATACGAGTTGCAAATTGCTTGCAAGATTATGATCAATGGAGGTAGCCAAGATATTCCCTGTCTAATTGGATGTTGATCAAAAACGGAATGATATATTATTCCGGTATTCTGCATTTCCTCCTACAGCGTCCCTTTAAACACCCTTTGTCTTTAATGATAGGAAAATCCATGAGATAATTCGGAAAATTTAGAATATTATCTTGAAGGCTTTAGCATTTCATTTGTACACCGAATAGTTTTTGATATTTTTTGCAATTATGACTAAACTGGAAATAAAAATTTTGAATGCTAATATTTCGATTAGGATGACACATTAAAATGAACTGCAAATCAATTTGTTTCGCATCATTTTCTAAAGTTTCTTGCAATTGAGTTTTCTGTTGTCGCATCGAAGCTTAAGCAATAAAAACATTATGTTTTTATCGATATATTCAACACCTTCTATAAGTAATTCACAGTTATTGACAATTTTTGCTTAATTCTCTTTAATCGAATAGAATTTGAAATTCCGAGACTACAAGCTTCGAAGTGAAATTTCTTTGAAAAATTTTTTGAATTCATAAATACTGCTGATAGAATGAACAACAAAAAAAAAAAAAAAATTCCAGGGCTTCGGTGTATATGATACCAGCTAGAACTGCTGGCACTATTCTTAGCTTTAGATAATCCTAGACGACAAGAACATCCTTTTCGTACCTGATATCCAATCGTGGAATATTTCCGGATAGTTATGATAATTATTTGAAAATTTAGACAGAACAGCTAATCTATTCCATCTATGGATTGCTTTTTGCCACTATCATTCTTACTTTTATTACTAATTAAAATTATTAACTGTAAAAAAATCCTTTAGTGGCTGATATTTTGAATGTTTAGCAGTCGAATGAATGATAGCTAATTGTATACGACCTATCAGATTCTTCCACAAACTTCACATAATTTATCCAAACTTATTTTAGTAAAGGTTAGGAGAATATAGAAATTTGAGATAATGATTTATTAGAGTGAAAATGAACTTTTCGCAGAATATATCTCATAGAACAAAAAACAAATTGAACTAGGACATTGCCTTACGAAAACTTTCTCAAACACATAAATACGTTTCACGAATAAATCATAAATGCTTAAACTTTCTCAGCAAAAAATGTTTTAAAAACTACTTTCAAATTGAAAGAAATTAGAGCAAATTCATACATTTACAATGCAATATTTACAGAAAGAAACTATTGTCAAAAATTAACCTCATTCAGATCTCACTACTTCAATAACATCGTTTAAATAACTTGGGGAAAAAGTTGTCAAAAACATAATTCTTCCACAAAATTTCCAAAATCTGTGGCACAAAAATGTCCAAGTTATTAAGACAAAAAAGGAATAATCGACGGTAAAATAATAGTAAAATATATTTAAGTTGGAAAATCCACGTGAACAATCTTTTAATCTATTCTCTAAACAAAGATATTTTTAATTGCTTACTCATATCAAGAATCAGTATATACTGTCTAAATAAATAAGTTTTCCGCAAATTATTGGCTTACTAAGTAGAACAATACACAAACCATTGATGAGAGTACAGGATGGATGAGACATTTGAAATTAAAAACCGATCAAATAAGCAGAACAGCAAACCGATTCTGAATTTACGATTGATGAAAGTATGAAGTGATTGAAATGAACGAATAATTTAATTACTCAGTTCTGTGACAGCATGTAGAAGTTTTGAAGAGTGGTAACGCTTGTGTCAACTGAAGCACTTGGTGAGATTGACGACAAATATGGTTCATTACAGTGCTGTTCGTTACGCGCTGTACAAATACCTGCCTGTGGATACTGTCAGGTAAAACAACACATTTAAGTGCCGATTAATTAATTAATTGTCATTTTATGCTTGCAAATAACAACAAATATTATTAATTCCTGATGTACTATGCAGATCATACAAAAATAAAATGTTAAAATTCGAAAAACCCATAGTAAATAATATAAGCGGAAATGAACTAAGAAAATGTAAGTTCTCACATCAAACAGAATATTATTTGTAGAATGGCTGGCACTCTGTTTGTATAATCTCTTCCTTCCCAATGTTTTAGTATTCATCCCTTTCACCGACTTCTCCTAGAATTAAGAAATAATTTTAATATTGGTATGCTATTCACAGCATTCCTGATAACACCCTTAGACAAAAGATAATGCCATGGAAATTTTAACAAGATATCTTTGGAAAAAATAATAAAATTTAAATACTTCAAATGCTGCTATGTATTTTTGAGCGTATATTTTGAGCCTAACAGCAGTTTCTGCACAATCCATATTAATCCGTGCATTAAATTCTCCTGAAAAGAAAAGAGAAAAGATATTCATAAGCAATTTGGTGCAATCTCAATTCGCCTCTCAAGATTAGCACTATCCGAAGTACACATATTCATTACCTTTGTCATTCGGATTGATTTTTAAATAATGCGAACGATGTGGAAGAGTTTGAAACAGCGATGGTACTGGAAAATGTATTTGAATAGTTTGAAAAGTAAAATTTCATGGATTTTAGAAAAAAAATAAAGTAGCAGCACAATTTGGAACAAATTTAGGAAATATTTCAATTGCTTAAAATGAAAAGATTTGCTTGAAAAAACATACACTGAAAAGCATGCTTCCAACGATATTTCTCGTTCTTAGTTTGTGACATGTCGTAAACATCCTTCACAGTAATGTGCTCCTCTTTGCCACATGCAATACAGTTCACGGTATCCTTTAGATGCTCGAACATGAAGACTGGAAAAAAGAGTAGAAGCATGCAAACATGTGGTAATAATTAATATTAGTAGACAAAAACGCTTCGCTTCGTCTGTTGCGCAGTAAGCACAAGCCACACTCCTACTTGGCTACCTATAAGCAGTAACTCTTATCTTGTCCTTAAGAATAACAATCCTAGTTCACTATGACTTTAATTGTTATTTGACCATCAACATTAAGAAGTGCAATCACATCTAGCAAAATGTCAACCAGAAATGTGCTCTTAAAAACTCTACAAGTAGCAACGTTAACTTTTACGAATCAGATCTCGCAACGATCGTGGAAATATATGTAATACAATTAGTGCAGCTTTAATTTCAATATTTCATCCTTTTGAAAGTATTCTAATCAACTAATGCTTTAAAATATTTACTTCATACTGTGAAATCATTCCAGATATTATCTACAAATAGTAATTGCTTAAACTCTATATCAGCCGAAGTACACGTCTCCTGTCATATGTCACATCTCACCCCCTCACATGTCATGCCCACCCTTTCACACGTCATGCCCACCCTCTCACACGTCATGCCCACCCTCTCACACGTCATGCCCACCCTCTCACACGTCATGCCCACCCTCTCACACGTCATTTCCACCTCTCCCCACACGTCATCCCACCCTCTCACACGTCATGCCCACCCTCTCACACGTCATGCCCACCCTCTCACACGTCATGCCCACCCTCTCACACGTCATGCCCACCCTCTCACACGTCATGCCCACCCTCTCACACGTCATGCCCACCCTCTCACACGTCATGCCCACTCCCTCACACGTCATGCCCACCCTCTCACACGTCATGCCCACCCTCTCACACGTCATGCCCACCCTCTCACACGTCATGCCCACCCTCTCACACGTCATGCCCACCCTCTCACACGTCATTTCCACCTCTCCCCACACGTCATCCCACCTCCTACACTTTATCCACGTCTTCCCATCACTCACCACCATCCAAAAGCTATATTTAGTGAATATTTATCTCACCAACTCTCTGCCCTCTCCAGGAAATGCGCTATTTCCCGATGACTTCTATCTTTCGAGCCATAGATATGGACGTGGGTGACGTCACCACTTCATGAATTTATTAAATTTAGTAGAATCAAGACTAATTAGCTGCAACTTTTGTACTAATACAAATGTATGTACGTACATATATGGAACCAATCAAAAGATACAGCGATGGAATAGACAACTAGGCTCCTAAATGCTAGTGGAAAGTTAAGGCCAAGAGCAAATAGTTGGCCTAATTGCTAGTGGAAGGTTAAGGACAAGAGCAAATAGGTGACCTAATGAATGAATGCTTGTTCATTCCTCATCAAAACAAAAGGATGAGAAGAAAATTTCAACGAAAATGGCAGAATTTTAAGGTTAGTTTCCTCGATGAAAATATTTTCAAATCATTTCAAATAGACAGAATTTCTTAAAAGAATTAAGTTTTTTTTTTTTTTATTCTTAAAGATTTAGAAATATTTTTGTGAAATTTGGGCTAAATATTTCGAAATTTCATCAAATTAATCGTCAAAATCAATAATAAATCAAATTAAAGGAAGGAATTTTATGAATTCCGGAAGATTTCCACGAATTCCGGGAGATTATATTCTGAATAATTCATCTATAGAATTTATGGAAATTAGCAAGTATACTCATCTTATCTTAGATTTTCCTTTGCAAAATTTCACTTTTCTGCGTGAATTCTTTTTGAGTGTCACATTTATGTGACTTTTATCGATACCAAATGTCTCTCAGAAAGTGAATAATTCTTTATACTTTTGTAAACAGGTCATGAGATATGAACTATGATATTTGATCCGTGGCAAGTCCGTTCAACCAAAAATTCATGTCGAGAGTGATCAGTAATCCAAGCAATCATCTGGCTTATTTAGGAACGACAAACGATGCAATTGGTCGGGTCATTAGTTTTGTTAAAAATTTAATTCAATGAAAGTGAATGACTATGTCATTTGCAGAGAACTGAAAATGAAAAAGTGAACTCTTTAAGTTCCATTTTATATCGAAATTAATTCTCTAACAAATTAGTAATACTTGTTATTGAAGTGTTTAAAAGGAAATTCAATACTACTAAAGGTCATTGACGGGTCACAGTATGAAGTAAAAGCACCGAAGACACTTGCTTATTTGATGTTTTGGGATGTGATATGTCTCGTGTAACTCTCTCTCTCCCCCCCACCCCCCCCCCCCCCCCCCTTTCCCTGAACTTTTGGCATTTTTGCATTTGACGTTGTGAATGCTTAGAAGAACAGTTCCGGGATATTTCCAATTTAAAGAATCTTTTTTTTCACGATGAGAACTTAGTTAAATTTCATGGATTTAGCACTCTGATAGAATAATTATCTCTGTTTGAGGATGATTTTCATTTTATGATTTACGATTTTCATTTTACGATTTCCAACAATGATTTCATTTTATGATTTACGCATAAAAATTTAAGACATTTAATGGTAACAGATGCATTGATGGATCTTGACAAATTAGCAGTTGAGCGATCTCGAGTACATCCTTGCTAACTTTTCAGTGAATATTTTAGCGAGAACGTGTGATGGAGAGAAATTGCGTGATTCAAGTGCACGGAATCAACGTGCTATTATTATTATTATAATTGGTTTTTTAAGATATCATCAATTTCTTATTTGGTGGAGATAGAATGAGAAGTGTTTAGAGGCATACAGGGAAAAAGTGCTGTATTTCATTACTGGAGTGGTCGAAATTCAAAAACGTCAGACGACAGACGACAGTCATGCGTGGGCAGATGTCAACACGTGAAACAGGTGGGAATGAGGACATAGACACAAAGACATTTGCGCTACTGCTGTTTTGATGATAAGCGCTGCTAGTGACACATGCAAACGTGTTTATGTGCAGTGTGCAATTCACACTGCTCCAACTTTTTGTTTCTGTTTGCTTCTCCACTCAATAAGCATTAGCTTATTTCAGGCTGAATTATGCTTGAGGCTAGGCTCTGTGCCAAATTAAGAAGACAAGTTGAAAAGTTGGAAATCTTTAACTTTCTTATCAAACTATAACCATAATTTAATCTGTGCAATCGTTTTTTTTTTTTTTTTTCTCCTTTTATTTCTTTTTTTTTTTTTCCTGGTAACTTACTCATCACTCGCTGCTGCCCGACTTTTCATTCTGCCCGGAATGCTTGCTTGCCTTTCATGCTACTACCGTTAGTGCTTTCCACTTCACTTCATCTCTTCCTCCTTTCATTCATCTTTTGCTAAGAAATCGATCAGCTCAGTTCTGTAGAAGGGACAGAGTGACACTTTTACCGATCTCTGTGACAGATATATCTTCCAGGTATCTTATTTGATTGGATTTGTTGTTCTGGGAAGTTTCGCGATGTCCTTTGTGTGTCATCGTTACTCATTGTATGGAATTGATGATCTGACTGAAATAAGTGTAATTAGACTGGAAATATTTATTTATTAAAGTTGGAAATGATACTTCGTCTATTATCTTTATTTTGTTGAAATTCTATTCCTCATTTATCTCGGTTGACTTTCAGTGTAAACATAATTAAAATCTTATGTTTGCCTAATTATTGTTCCTTTACACTTATGTCAAAGGTGCAACACTTCAATTTTCTCTCAGATTCTTTCTTTTTGCATGACACCAATTTTGATAAGAATTAATTTTGTTATGAGGATACAGCTTACAATCGGTATGAATTCCGGTAGCCGGTTTACTTTAATGAAATGTAGAGTAGTTGCTAATCCTTCCGTTGTTATAGCCAAAGTGACTATTGATCACCTAAAAATGTTCATCAAATTGTTCTGTTTTAATTCGTTGGCCAATTCGTTTATTATTATGAATACTGATTTGGAACACCGTATCCATAACACAAACTTTTTAGTCTGAAATTGCTAGGTAACATTTTCTTTTCGCAAAAGTCCGACAGTACTTGCACACTTTGCTTTATTCTTTCTGTGTTAGGAATGAATCACACTGCTAACCAAACTATTTGATTAATTGCTTTTTGGACTATTCCTTTTTTTTTAGTGTCAAATAGTTGATAGGATCGACAGTCCAATTTTTTATTGAATTATTTAACTTGCAATCTAAAATCTCGAATCACAGTTATCGGTTATTTCTTTGCTATAGTATCATTTTACCGAGGAATTTTTGATCTGATTTTTGTAGCTTGTAGTAGTACTGTTTATTAACTTTGAAGTCTGTCTTTTTTTTTGTATTTGTTCTTCTAAGAATTGTCTACTTTCTCTAAGGTTGAGATAAGAATAGAATAATTTATAGTTTGTGCCGATATGATAGTAACTGCATGGTAAACTGAAATTGCAATGTTGGAAAAAACATTTTTGACATCATAGGATCATCTTTCAGTTTTGCTTCATATAGTACTAACTCACTGAACGAATCTGTCACCATCTATATTTGTATATTAGACAGACAACTTTTGAATTTGAAATTAGATCCGAACAGAAAACATTTACTCGAGAATAATCCAAAAAACAAAAATTAGAAATTAATGTATTAAATACATTCACGGTATTTCCTTCTCTGTTTGCATATTTTTTTCTCTTCTTACAGCGAAAAGCGAAAAGCCTTTTACTACTAGAATTAAACCATTATGAATGAATTATGATAAATTAATGGAACACATTACGTTGCGTTTAATGACGAGAAGAGAAGGTATTTACTGTTAGTGTGGTAGGATTATCAGTACCATTTCCATTTAATATATTATATTGAGGAAGGAGAACGACAAAGGAAAACGAGAAACAATGTCAGGAAATGATGAGCGAATGCAGCGAATTCATCTGGGAAACGATGAATTCGGTGGTTTGATCGGAGGCCTTGCAGGAAACTTCATCGAGAATCAAGTTGGTGGTGGTTTTGGACAAATTCTTGGTGGACTCTTGCGAGGAGGCAGAAGCGGTGTAGATTCTGGTACAGCTTCTTGAATTTTTCATTTGAAATTCTTCATTTTGCACTTAATGGTATGATGTATTTATTGGCATAATTTTTAGAGATTTCTGTTCAACTAATAAAACAATTATTTGCTTGAGAAAGCATTCAAACAATAAAAATAGTCATGTTGTTGGGCTATTCTTACCCGATGGGCTGAAATTATTTTTGTTTGAAGGAACGATAATCATGTAATGGTTATGTGGGTTTGGTTTCTTATTCTTTGAATAGCTGTTTGCAATTCGATAATCTCCTTTTATGTTCCTTTTTTGTATTGATAAGGACTTCAACATTTGAATTTGTAAGCATTTCTTCTGGAAAGTTTTCAGGTGGACTGGATGTAGGGAATTTGATTGGTCAGTTTGTTGGTGGTGGCGCTCGAGAAGGTAGTGGCGCTCGAGAAGGTAGTGGCGGAGGTTTGTGATAAATTATTAGGATGAACAGTGCTCGTTATATATTTGAGAATTAGATTTGTTACACTTAATGGTGGTGAAGGATGAATAAAAGAATGTAAATAGCTGACAAAGTGGAATTTTCCTAACGATGAGGTAAAGAACGACAGAAATTGGTGATCTGTCGATAATAGAATGTAGGCTTAATGTTCAGTTTCAGTTTACTTTTTCCCTTTTTTGTGCCAAACTTTTTAAAAATAAATTTTAATCTATTTTCTTCCTTTCCTTAGGAGACAATGTACCGCTGGACTTTTTGCGTGGTGGTGTTATTGAGATGCTATCAGATATGATTGGTAAAGCAGCACATCATTTCCTGGGTGTTGACCCGCAGACGGGTCGTATTATTGGTGCAGTTGCCGGTAATGTGCTGTTTCAGCTAGGTGGAAAAGATAACAAATTATCGGATATAGGCAAAATTGTTTTGGACAACATCATTTCCGGAAAATTCCACCGCAAGGTTAATTTTTCTATCTTTTCAACCTTTTCTTTGTTTTACTTTTTCCGAAAGGAAGAGGTTGATTTTCCTTAGTTTTTTGTTTTTTTCTGAATAGAACGAGTCTTTTTAAATGTAATCTAGATTTAATTTGTATGATTTTCACTTTTTTTCAACTTGCCCATCCTTATACTGTATCCAATATCTTAACTAATCGTAGTTTCAGGTTGATCCTTATATTCCACGGGAACCACGTTTGATACCACGTCCACCATCACCAAGTCGAAGAAGCGAAGCACTCGACTTTTATAAAGAACGTGATCGATGTTTGCAAGTCAGTGAACCTTTGAGTATTTTGCATTCTTAATGAATTACCATAAAGCAGTGCTTCTCCAGAAATGCTATTTTTATTGTTTAGCAAATTGTTCTTCTGTTACAGTCTAATACTCTGTTCGAAGACCCAGAATTTCCAGCCGATGATTCCAGTTTGTTTTATAGTAGACGACCTCCGAAATACATTGAATGGCTTCGTCCAGGAGTAAGTGAATTTCAGTTGTTACTTTCAGTTATTACCTAAGATCACGACTTTAATGAACAAAAGTTTATTGAAGGAAATCGTCCGCGAACCAATGTTAATTTCGGAGGGACAAACTCGCTTCGATGTGATTCAAGGCGAACTGGGAGATTGCTGGTTGATGGCTGGTGCTGCAAGTTTGACCCTACGTGATGAGCTATTTTATCGTGTGGTCCCACCGGACCAGAGTTTCACCGAAAACTATGCTGGTCAGTTAAGAATTAATTTATACAGGTCCTGCAATAAGTAAACTTACAACGTTGTTAAAGTGCCTACTTCAGTTTTCTCTTTTTTGTTTTACTTATCAACGTTTGCATTCCTCATTTATGGTGATAGCTTTGTCCGACAAATTTTGTTACGAGTTGAAATGTGTTATTTAATATATAATGGAAAAATCAGTTTAGTATAAAGGAATTTCATTTTACAACTATGAACCTAAAATTTCAAAATTTCTATTTACAGGAATATTTCATTTTCAATTCTGGCATTATGGTAATTGGGTGGATGTAGTTATTGATGACAGATTACCAACATCAGGTGGAAAGCTTTTGTATATGCATTCCCGTGAACATAATGAATTTTGGAGTGCTTTGATCGAGAAAGCTTACGCCAAGTTAGTCTGGAGATTTTTAGAGAGAACTAAGGGACAAAAAAGAAAGAAAATATTTCTTCAAATTGTAATTCATCAATAATTTTATAGTGTTGATTTAAACTACTTTTTCTTTAAGCTTTTTTTTTTTCTTTTTTTTTTCATGGAATTTGACTAAAAACGTAGCATTTGTAGGTTATACGGTAATTATGAAACTTTAAAAGGTGGTACAACATCGGAAGCATTGGAAGATATGACTGGTGGTTTGACAGAGTTTATTGATTTAAAAGAATCACCACCAAATTTATTACAAATGATGTTTCGAGGCTTTGAAATGGGTTCTTTGTTTGGATGTAGTATTGAGGTTAATGATTTCATTCATTATAATAAATTTTTTCTTTTATAAGTTTCATCCATACTTAGTGTTTTCAACAGTTTTCTTAAGGCTTCACCAATGGAATTTGAGGCACGTACACAGCAAGGATTAGTTAAAGGTCATGCCTACAGCATTACAGGAATGAGACTGGTTAGTTTATCGCATATTAGCGAATTTTGCATTGAAAATGGTGCAATATAGTCCAATTTACAGGTATGCATTAATATGATATTATTATGATATTATTTCTTATGATATATGGTCGAATATCCATTGCGAATGATAAATCTCTCATAAATATTGGGAATCTTTCACCTTTTGGTTCAAAAAATTTTTACATTTTAGATTGAAACATCACAAGGTAAAATTCCTCTATTACGAATTCGTAATCCATGGGGTAATGAACAGGAATGGAATGGTGATTGGTCAGATGACAGTGAATTATGGGATTATGTTTCCAGTCAGCAGAAGAAAGATATGAATCTTGTCTTGGCGCATGATGGCGAATTTTGGTTTGTTTGATTTACAGTTAATTTTGAAAATTACATATTTATTGTATTGGGTAATAATTTGTACGGCAATACGCGCTGTACTGTTATAAAATATGAATAAGTAAAATTATGTAGTTAGCGTTTGATTGTTTAGTTTTAGTAGTCATGGTTTCATGATAAATTCAAAACATCACACCAAGGTTTATTCGTCATAGGATGTCATTTGATGACTTTATGCGATATTTCAACAAAATGGAAATCTGCAATTTGGGACCAGATGTTATGGATGAAGTACGAGAGATGACTGGTGTGTCAATGGAAGATGCAGGTTACGGACGCTGGAATACTCGTTGCCATCTTGGCGCATGGATAGGTGATACTGCTGGTGGTTGCCGAAACTACTTAGGTACAAAATGTCATTTAACCTACTCAACCCATATGAAGAATGTAAAGTATAAATTGAGAATTTCGTAACTTATTTGAGAGGAATGTTAGATGCTTCGCAAAAGGATGAAGAAAGGCTATCGGATAACTATATTCAACTTCTTACAGTAAGGATGGAGCAGCGTGATAAGAAGCGATTGTGCAGAAGAGGATGTATTTTGTCAGCGGTTATTAATTTCAGTAATGATTTAGATCACACTGCTCAGAAATTATGAGTAATCCATTCATAGAAATCTACTAGTTTAAATATTTGAATATTTCTCTTGCAGATACCTTTGCCAATAACTCTCAGTTTGCTATGACTCTTTCTAATCCAAATCCTGACGATGAGGATGGCCTTTGTACAATAATCATTGCCGTGCTGCAAAAGAATCGCCGTGAAATGAAACCTCAAGGATTAGAGAATCTTGCTATTGGCTTTTCTGTCTATAAGGTAATTTCAAAATTGATGTAATTTGCTACATGCTATATATTTTTTGGAAATTTTTTCGCTAATAGAGGTATTTCAAATAATTTTATTTATTTTATTGTTTTTTTTTTTTTTTTTAAATTTTAAGGTCAATGAAATTTACGGCCACTTGGATCGGAGTTTTTTTGCATCACATAAATCATGTGCAAGAAGTTCTGCATTTATCAATCTTCGTGAGGTATCATTTTGCTTGTCAGTTACAATTTTCAGATACAAGTTAAGGAGACTGCGTTACTTGGGTAATATTTATGTTTGTTGTACCAAATTATATGTCGTACCACACGTACCTTCATTAAAATATATTAAAATAACTTCATCAAAAATAGTTTGAACTAAAAGGTCGTACTTTGCTGAGCAAATAGTTTTTTTTTTTTTCCGTGGAACTTTCACATTTCGACTTGACTCTACCACTGCTATTTTTGCTATCTAGAGTAAGTATTAGTTTTGAATTTTATGGAATTAAGAAAGTCTCATCCATTGCGAATTTTTAATAGCAACATAAAACCAATAATAACAGTTGCATTTACAGATTGCAGATAACAGATAATTACAGGTAACTGGCCGTTTCCGTCTTCAACCCGGCAATTACATCATTGTTCCATCAACTTTTGAGCCTGGTGAGGAAGGTGAATATATGCTCCGTATGTACACCAATGTAACCATCTCTTCCGAGTAAGTTTTGTTATCATACTTCCAGTTTTTCCTCTTCTCTTGAATATCCTTTTACAATAGTACTGGAAACAAATTCTCTATTGAAAAGAGGATTTTACAGAATTTTAGTTTTACGTTAACTATTGGAAGTATCCTATATCTTTTGGGATATTTCAGAGAGCTTGGTTAAATGTTTGAAGCAGAAGATGGGCGATAGGCTAATCACACATCAATAAAACAATTCTCACGAAAATAATTCCATGAATTTTTTTTCTTTGCCAATTTTTTGAAATGTTTGTGTTATCGAAAAAGTAGCGAAAGACAAAAAAGAGAAAGGAGAATATAGTGCAAATATTTTTTGTCAAGATTATGTGTAAAATTTTGAGATTTTTATGAAAATTCAATGTTTAGCGACTAAATTTAAATAGCATGCAAAGATTATGCTGCACTGATGGTTTTGAATAATGAAACTGATGACAAATAGTCCATTATATCCTTTGAATTTTCTTTGGCTTGCAAGTAAAAACATGAAAAAGGCTTTTCATGTTTTTACTTGAAAAAATTATATTTTTAACTGTGTTCATCTATCTACTTTTACCTTCTTTTCCTGACATAAGTTTTGCTTAATTTCCTTTAAATATACGATAACTTATGATGTTAGAATCTAGTTTGGTTTATATTTTAAATTAGAATTTTAACTTGTGGACTAGGTTATGGTGTTGAACTAGGAATCAGTAAGATTATTTTAGATTTTATGAAATTGAAGCAGAATAGCAAGAAAGGAAATTGAGTAATCATTATCGCCACTTACTGTACTAGGTAATCTTGTTATGAAAAATGAAGGATTTGCAAACTTTTTTACATCGCATAGCAGTGAATCGTTGTGTCAACGGATGTGTCTAATTAATCTGAAATTGTGGCGAAAGCTAATGCACAGTGATTTTTTGGATGAGAAGAACATCGTGCCGTGTACAGTGATCGATCGTTAGGAACAGACGGACGGACCGGATCTTCTTTCAGTTTACATCCCTACATATTGATTCGGATTATGTATACATGTTAAGCTAATCTATAGATGAAAGGATTTGCCGCAAATTAACAGGCCTGTAGCAAAACATTCTTCGTTAATTACAATCATTTCTTTCCTTTTCCGCCGACCCTCTTTGAAGTACACCGTCGATGATCATTTATCAGCTCTATGTCGGTCGCACCCTGTTGTGAGATGCGTAATCCATAAAAGATTACCGTTCATCTCTTTATGGTTACAAGCCGTTCGTGGTTATCATTTTATATTCAAATTTAAATATCTTTGAGTAGTCTTTAAAGCTTTAGAGGAACTGTTTTAGTGCTCTTTCAATTGATATCCCATCCTTTTATCAAAACAGTGGTTGTCAACAATATCAATTACTTATATATGGCAAGAGTACGAAGAACTAACACTTCCTAAGTTTATGAGACTAAGCAATTTTCATTAATATTATTTGTAGTTAAAGATAAACAAGGTAAAAGGAGTTAGTTAATTTTATTTCATTCCGGAATTTTATGGGATATTATGTCAGGTATTTGCGTAGAACTCTGTTCCGGTGAAATCTATGTTACGGAGATTCATCACGACAATTTTGCTTGTCCACAATGAATGGGTTCTGTGAAGGCTTAATATCGCTACATTCTAGTCAAGTCAAATGTCAACAAATCCCATCATTTTTCCTATCTATGTATTATGTATGTACTATGATTGCTTAAGCAGATGCATGTGTATGTGTCTTTGTTTATGAACAGAACATTCGAAATAGCCGAATTTCATACAACTGGTTCTCAGCCTCCCTGATGAATGCGCTACCATCAGAAACGCTGTTTTTGTTATGATAAGAGCGTACATGGGTTTTTTTTCTTGGATCTAGCGCAGATGTCCTAGGGCCTAGAGTTTTTTCGTATCTCACAATGAGATCTTCAGGATAAAAGAGTTGAAAAACTGGGATAGAAGATGAAGAAAAGAAAAAGTGGAAAAGAAAAGTTAACAATCGTCTGCACCATTCATTGAATGACCAGTTAGATTGAGAAAGTTGAAGCGGAATCTGACAAATTGCGCCTTTAATCCTCCCCACTAAAACAGTCACCTATACTTTCACTTCTTTCATGTTCACTGTCATCATAGCTTTTATCAGTGTTATTGATAAAAGCTATGATGACCATTATCATCTCCGTTCACTTCTTGTGTCGAATTAAATTTTAAATGATCAGATGAGTTGCATTTATTTAAACTAAAACATTCTTCGTTCTTTGATTTTATTAGTAGTTTTGGGAATGAAGTATTTCAAATATAAGAGTCGCCTAAGTTCACTTAATTAATCCACCGTAAAAGTAAGGGTTGTTCGTCAATTCACTAAACTTTATTTTCACTTCATCCTGTCTCTCTCACTTCACTACTGCCAAACAGCTTCTCTTTAAGTGCTAGTAGCAATTCTCAGGTGGGTTTGTGTTGAATTTCACTTCAACTTGTGATACGTTACAATTCAATATCATATTAACTAGTAGAGATCTTTGGTGTCAAAAGGAAATTTTTTGTCACCTTATTTAATCTAAATAAAATGAAACGATGTGATGTTGGTGCTGGTGGTAGTACTGGTGGTGCTGGTGCTGGTGCTGGTGCTGGTGGTGGTGGTGGTGGTGTTTCTTTATCACTTGTGATGCTAAGAAGCTTCCCAAGCCAATATGTAAATCGATGGTTGGTTTGCTACATGTTATCATTATTCCCGTACATATGAAGGGACTACACACGCCATTCTATATAGTTAGTCCCTTTATATATGTCTGATTATGATAGTGGTAGTAAATAATAATCGTAATAAAGTAATGATATTGATAATGATAGTGATAAAAATGATAATAATAGTAGTAGTAATGATAATAAATTAGTAAATAAATAAAGGATAATTATAATAATAATAATAATATTGACAAAGTAGAGATAGATAATGGTGATACACATGCAATGCAATAGTTATGTGTGTAGGATTGTTTGCTACACATACCTCTGAGACAGAATCTTGGGAAGATAAATTGGATTTGGCTTGCTGATTTCACTTTTCTGTCAAATGTTAGCTTTAGCTTTTTATTTTCGTCTGTCTTTCTGTTTGCTTCTTCCTTTCGTTTCTTCTCTTAGAGCCATTATTTTTGCATTTGGAAGAGATGACCAGTGCATGTGAGAAGATTGAAGGACGAAGAAGGACCGACCGACCGACCGCCAACCAATCAACCTTAGCGCTTTTGGTTCCCTGAAAGGGTCCGCGAGCGGGCGGAAGAGGAAAGGAAAAGGAAAAAGCACGACTGATTATGAAGCATTCCTTCTCATCCGTTCTCTCCTCCTTCTTTCAGAGCACAGTTGTGAGTTCTAAAGGTAATCGATCTTTAGCATAGCTAATTTAAAAGCTAATTTCGTCCTAATCGGTGGTTATCAGTTATTATCAACCTTATTGCTTATTTTAAACCATTCCTTACATCAAATATGCCAACCATCATTTCATTTGCTTCTTCTCATACAACAGTTGCTTAGAGATACTGCAGCAGTGACCCGCATTTATTGAAAGTATGGACAGAGGACAGAAGTGACAAAGAACAGTGATGTGAGTGAGTGAGTATTTCTGATATATTTGAAAAAGGAGAAGGAATTAGTTATTATTTCATGAAATGAGTACATTTAACAAATCAGTTGACATCAAGCTAAAGTCAAATCAAAAATCTTACTGATTTAAAAGCACTCATATGTTGCTATCATCATAATTATTTCAGTTTTTTCGATTGAATCTCATAAATTTCGAGTAAGGGTTTAGTTTAATTTGAATTGATGCATATTTTATTTTATATCCCTTCTTTTGAAAGGTAATTCACGTCAAACATTTTCATATCGAAAATACTTTATGGAATGAAGCTTAAAACCTTACAACAGTTTTGCATATCATTTTTATTGATCAATGCTTGTCATTGGAAAATTCTTTAAAATTTTTTAAGCATACTTAGTGATTGAATTTTATATAATATTATAATTTTTAAATTTGTGAATTAAGTTCAAAAGACGAGTAACTCTTTTTTTTTTTTTTTGATTACAAGTAATTTTTTTCATAAATTACATCATCAATAATTGCAAGAGGAAAGTGTACCAAATTGTTCGTTTCCAGTATGAGAGAGAGAAAAAAAAAAAAGAGAAATTAACAGCGATAATAGTAATAGGATGGAATAGAAGAAAGAAAATTGCCGCTGTGTTGTCCTGTAGATTGGTCGGAGTGAATTTTGTTCCTAATCCGAAAATGTCTAATCTAAAGCAGTTCCAATGTTTAGTTTACTTTGTAAACACTGTGCAATGCTGTGAGATGTTGTCGGAATGTTTGATGTATTTCCACAAAGAAAAGGAAAAGTGGAGGAGGAGGAGGAGTGCTACTTGACAATTCATTCGTTTTTGCTTGTAGCTATTGCAAGGTGAGAGTAATTCTACTACACTCAACAAATTTCCTCCAATCATTTCTCCGACAGCAATTTGACAAGAAACTTGTAATATCTCTTGTCAATTGTATGATCAGATGATAAACTGATAATTCGGGAAATATTCTTATCCCATTCACGTTCGCATATTAACAATAGTCGGTTTAAAAAAAAAATCTTCCTCCTAGTTGTTGAAAGGATGATTGATTAGCTTTACTGATTAGTTATCCACCTTATGCCACCTCAACTTTTTTATCCCTGAACTTCTTTATTAAAATTAAGCATTGTCCAATATTCATATTAACATAACTCTCTATCCCTTCACATTAGTTCGATGGTAGTACGATGGGATGGACACTAGTGGCCCAGATATAGTCTTAGACCACTTTTGATACTGGGACAAATATACGACTGTGTGATCAAGTTAACGTTACTTTCCCTATCCATCACGGCCATTAAAGAATGGTGGTAGTGAGCCTGCAAGTCTAGTCCTTTTATTTGACAGCTAGAAGATCGATTACTTGGACATCTCATGGCTAAACTGTGTGCAGGAGAGAGAAGGAAGAGGAGGAAAGCCTGAAGTGTCACCACCACTGTCAGCTTTGCCGATTCGTTTCATCTGTGGAGACTCGAACTATCGATCTGTCTTCCTTATTATGATAATTTGAGGCAAACTGGCTGTGTATTTTCTCCTTCTCCATATACTTGATGTGATTTTGTTATCCAGGATTTCCCGGGAAAAACCTCGACCAGAGGGATAGCTATGAGGAGGAAGACGTCAGCTTTCTCTCCTTACTTAATTTCGCCTCTCACACTTTTATAACTTTCCGTTCCTCTCTTCAATTACATTCACTAGCCAACCTTACTAACTTCTCTCCTTCTCTCTCATCTCACTCATTCCTCACATGTCATTCACTCTCTCATATCTTTTACGTATCTTTATGATTAATGATAGCCCTGCCTATGCTACTTTTCAATATGTCTCTTATTAATAGTAATTCCAGAATCTTTTCTCCTTTTTTTTCTCCTCACCACGTCCTCGCATTCCTTCTCTCTCTCGTCTTATCTAGTAGATATACTTCACATTACAGTGGAAGGAAGCAGATGACACTGTACCTGAGTGACCTTTGCGAAATACATTAGTGATGGTCAGTGGTCACATCACTGACTTTCTGCTATCAGTGATTACCTGTCTTTGCGGGCTACGACTGCTAAGAGATGGCGGCTGATGAGCGAATGAAGAAGCACTGAGTGCATTATCGAACACATACATACACTGTGTCGGAAGGAAGCAGAAAGGGCAAAGGATGGATGGATGATGGTGCTATTCCATTGCGGTGAAGTCACGTTGCGCTGCGGAGAGGATGAGTCAACCACTGCTCTTAAAGTAGAAAGGAACAGGCGGTGGTGGTGGCGGTGACAGCAATGACAGTTCGTGGAGTTTCGATTCGAGATGGCGAGATGAAAGGTGCCGACGGATCAACATTTCTTGAAGTAACTATTGCTACTGTGTTGTTGTCGCTGCCAATAATATAGTTAAGAGTTAAGGCTTCGAAATTTCAGTGGAAAGGTAGAGGGAGAGAGAGAGAGCAAGAAAAGGGGAAGAAGAAGCAGATGAATAGTTGCTGATTGTAATGAATAGAGGTTTCTAGAGAAGGGGAAGTGAGCACTCTTTTGATGTTACCCGCCGTCGCACCTCTAATAATCCACAAAATGCCGCCTTAGACTTCAAAGACGGTACCGCCAGCACCGTCATTGCCACCAGTGCCAACCTTACAACAGTACTTCTATCCTATCCTCTTCTCCTCCACTGCCCACTTGTTTTCCAATTTCGTTCTTTTCTATCAATGTGTGTGTTTGTATTTATCTACCGCTCTGTTTATGTACGACACACGTTGTAAGAGCTCGTTGCTGATCACGTTTGCGAGGAAGAATTCAGGTGAGACAGACTGTGTAGTGTAGTGTGCCAGCATTTACGGTTCCTTTATAAGTCAGTTTTGATGTTGAATTCAATTACCACCGGTTGTGAAATTATTGTTAGAATTTCCGGAATAAATTTCACAGTTCCAGGATGTTAGCTATCCGGTTTATTTCATTTGATTATTTCCCATCTCCAACAATTGAATGTTCAGTTAGGAATAAAAGCGATGGTGTTAAAATATTACTTGTTAAAGTACTTTTCTCCTCGAGAATCTCTTCTCACTTTGAAAATCTATTTCAGTTGGGTTTAATCGAACAACAATCATCTTTTTGCGCCTTCAATCTATTTGCCGCCTCACTCCTAACTAGATTCTTCTCATTTTACCTTACATATAATCAGGCCAACACTACTATTTCAAGTATTATCAAATGTTAATCAACTGTTAGCAGTTAGGAAAATTAGTATCATACCAATTTTTAAAATAAAACGGAACTGCCGGACAAATTCTTTTTAAGCATTATTTATTTACATTTGATAAATTCCCTTCACTGACTAATTTGATTTGCCTCCGGTAATTTAACCTGACTGACAAAATAGTTTGCAAGATTCTTTAGATCAGTGTTTTTGCTTGATGGTTGAGTTTTAATTGAACTTACTCAACTAATTCACTAAAAGCTTTAGAAGTATTTTCCTTTAATCGTTAAGGAAACCTTTTATAGTTCTGTTCCCAATTAGTGCACTGAATTTTGTTTGAATGACTTATTCTTCTCTCTAACTTTTCCAGAAGGTTTAAGATGTGCTACAAGGAATAATGTTTTGCAGGCAGAGGAAGGAACGATTGAGAAAACTGGGATAGGTGGTGTTTACATCGGTCACTCACTTCCTCATTGCTACCTTTTTTATTAATTCACCTATTTTTATTTTTAAAACAAACTTCAAAAATGAGAATTTTTGTCGTTCTATCTATCTATCTATCTATCTATCTATCTATCTATCTATCTATCTATCTATCTATCTATCTATCTATCTATCTATCTATCTATCTATCTATCTATCTATCTATCTATCTATCTATCTATCTATCTATCTATCTATCTATCTATCTATCTATCTATCTATCTATCTATCTATCTATCTATCTATCTATCTATCTATCTATCTATCTATCTATCTATCTATCTATCTATCTATCTATCTATCTATCTATCTATCTATCTATCTATCTATCTATCTATCTATCTATCTATCTATCTATCTATCTATCTATCTATCTATCTATCTATCTATCTATCTATCTATCTATTCTATTCTATCTATCTATCTATCTATCTATCTATCTATCTATCTATCTATCTATCTATCTATCTATCTATCTATCTATCTATCTATCTATCTATCTATTTATCTATCTATCTATCTATCTATCTATCTATCTATCTATCTATCTATCTATCTATCTATCTATCTATCTATCTATCTATCTATCTATCTATCTATCTATCTATCTATCTATCTATCTATCTATCTATCTATCTATCTATCTATCTATCTATCTATCTATCTATCTATCTATCTATCTATCTATCTATCTATCTATCTATCTATCTATCTATCTATCTATCTTTCTATCTATCTATCTATCTATCTATCTATCTATCTATCTATCTATCTATCTATTTATCTATCTATCTATCTATCTATCTATCTATCTATCTATCTATCTATCTATCTATCTATCTATCATCTATCTATCTATCTATCTATCTATCTATCTATCTATCTATCTATCTATCTATCTATCTATCTATCTATCTATCTATCTATCTATCTATCTATCTATCTATCTATCTATCTATCTATCTATCTATCTATCTATCTATCTATCTATCTATCTATCTCTATCTATCTATCTATCTATCTATCTATCTATCTATCTATCTATCTATCTATCTATCTATCTATCTATCTATCTATCTATCTATCTATCTATCTATCTATCTATCTATCTATCTATCTATCTATCTATCTATCTATCTATCTATCTATCTATCTATCTATCTATCTATCTATCTATCTTTTTATCTATCTATCTATCTATCTATCTATCTATCTATCTATCTATCTATCTATCTATCTATCTATCTATCTATCTATCTATCTATCTATCTATCTATCTATCTATCTATCTATCTATCTATCTATCTATCTTCTCCATCCACTCGATCTACCGATCGACTGAATCATTCATTTGAATGAGCGCACAGTTGAAGAACTTGTTTCGGTGCTTCTCTTAAATGTTTCTCATCTTTCTCTTTGATCGCTCCCGCCAACAGAATTTTTTTAATGAAGAATTACAAATAAAATGTTACACTGAGCCACGAAGTGTCTTCCGTTTGCATGCTTACAACAGGATTGTTTGTGTTCAGATTCTTTATCGACCAGTAGTCTTCTGTGCCTGGATGATTCCTTACAGTTAATATGAGTTTTCCGGATTTATCCAACTATCGTTTCTCATGATCGCTCAAGTTTTTTACGATCCCTTGTTGTTTTGCATCTCTTGAATTCGGTTCTCTTTTAAATTATGTTCGAAATTTCATGGATTTATAAATTTCTGCTGTCTCTGAAATCGAATAGTGACCTCTGCCTAAATAAATAATAGGAAATTAATTGGACTTGCTGAATGTTGGTTCAACTACAAAAATTGTGGGTGGTTGCCCATGATGACAAGGCTATTTAAGTAGAGGACTAGGTTCATGGCTTGTCCTCTTAGCAGCTAGTCATTTTGTAGAACACTCATCTCGTAACTCAAGCCATTTATTTCTCTATGAACAATGCGAGAAGAACGGAATTCCTTTACAGATTTCATGGATGGGTGTATGACTTGGTCAAGCAATTTAGAGAGTGTCCTGGAAGATGCTTTTGGCTTAGAAGCCTTCAAGGAATGGTTTAGGGACGATGGCACGAGACTTATTGATTCTATCGACTTATACTTTGCTATCAAAGCCTTCAAGTACATAAAGATTTTAAATAAATAATATATATGCTTGCTTATTTATTTATATATTTGTCGAATTCTAATGAAATACACAGAGTTATGGATGATTAAATTGGCACAGAGTTATGGATGATTAAATTGGAATTGGAAATTTCTACCTGAAAATTTGAAAATACCAGTATAACGAGTCTGAAAAAAGTTTTTGCATAAATTCCCCGAAATTTTCTCCCCCAAAGATGCTTCCATTCGTTGACCTGATAAATAACAAATAACTGCAAATTGTTGGTACAGGACAGAGTTGTGACCGCTGTCGAAGATAATTTGGTTAATTCTGAAATATGTTGATGATATCGACCGTCACATTGTTCTGTCAACTTTTTCACTTTTACCACACTGATATTTATTTCTACAAAGGGAACAAAAATTGTGGAATTTCAAACAACTAAAAACTTTTAAATTTCAATTTAATTATCCATTGAGGAAAAGATTTAGCAGTTAATCAGGGGCAACTGTGTTGTTGGCACGATATTAAAAGTATCCTTTTTTACAAAATTGTTTTCTTAATTTTGAAACATCTGCAAAAAGTTTCGGATTTCAAAAGATTATGATAATTTCAAAATTTTTACCTACTAATTTTCCATTCATGTGAAGGACAAGAAGAAAGCTTTTCATTTTATTATAATCAATCAAGCACATTTGCATAAATCATTTAGAAGAGAAATTCCGGATGGAAAATGGCCTTTTCATTCTTGTTTAGGAATAATGAGTTATTTCATCTTTTCTATTTGTAGGAGTTTGATAGAACGTAATGATCCAAAATGCGCTGAAATAGCATGCAAAATACATCGCAAATACATAAGGTTTTTTTTTTTTTTCGAGTTATTTTCTGATAAATTTCAGTTGAAATTCACATTGCCGTAAGCATACCATTGGCTTTTCTATTATCTCTAAGGAATGCATTCATATTTTGCATATTTATCTATGTTTTATTGTAGCATACGCAGTGGTACCTGTACTTTCTTTCCCGATACTACCAGAAGAGAGATGTCGGAGCGGATTCATGCCTTATCCGCAAATAAACTTCCGCACAGCAACCTGTTCGAACCTTGTCAGGAGGAACTGCTGGCTTATTTGCGCAAGCAACACGCTCTCTTTGTTAATTCTGACAATTATTATAATGTAAGTATTACTTTTTTGACTGTTACGCGTCTATTTCATCGTGTCTTGGATGATCACATATTTGATCACTTAGATGCGTTGTTGGACAAAATTTTGTGTAGGATTAATTTTGGTACCAAACATTAATATTTAGAATTGAATATCGATTTTAGTCTTTTTTCATTCTCAGCTGCTGAATCAAAATGCGGAACTTACTGAGTCGGCAGCATTTTCCGCTCGGGATGAAAACGATGCTACAGTTTATTCGACCGGATGTCATGCATGTGCTTCAACGAGTGATGATGTCTCGATACGATTTGGTGGTCGAAATTCAGTCTGGAAAAAGTATGCCAATTAATTATTTTTGATATATTAACTTTATATGATAAGAACTTTTCATAATTTCGGGAATTCTATTGAAAATTAAACAAATAATACAATTTGTAGGTCGTATTTTCATGATTAATCTTTATAAAATATAATTATATCCCAATTCTGTGATGTATTTATACTAGGCTTGTATCCTTTCAACGTCAGAATCTCCATTCAGGTGGAAGTTACCGAGGCGAAATGTCTCCATACAAAACGTAAGCAAGCGTAACTCACGTGACTCTGTATCATGCAGTGCTGTTTCAAGTGAAGATAGTGGAAATAAACGAAATAGTTCTAGACGTCATTGGGAACGACTGCCGCTACAAAGGTTCCATGGAGTAAGTAATTATCTTGAAATATGTGCACTTTCTCCTAATGAATGACTTCTTCACTTACTCATTCACTTAGATTTCCTTTAGTATTGAGGATATTCTGTGCCAGTGGGTTATAGAGGCAACGATATGTTTATTTCTAACAGAATTTCCAATCATTATAACTAACCTTTCTCATTTGAATCTATCAGAGGAATTCTTGGACTGAACAACAAAAGCTTTTCCTTTTCGGCAATTTCTCTTGCAAATAATCCTCTTTTTCCACAAAATATTTTTAAAGTACGCTTCATCTACTTCTTAGCAGCGATTGGTTTTGTCGACTTTTGAATGCACATTATTTCCTCTCAATGTTTTTTTGTCATTGAAATTGCCAAGGAATGGAATTGGTGGTTATTGTTTTACTTTTAGCATCATCAACAACAGCAAGCATTACTTACCTGTCCAGCGGACGGTAGCGATTTCAAGCATCAACGTCCGGAAGAAAGAGAACGGTTTTCGGAAATTTTACGCTGCAAACTCGATAAAATCGCTCACCGTTTAGAACAATATAAACATGAAACCGGAATTGAAATATTTGCTAGGTTTATTAAATTGCCTTCTTTTTCCTTTATTTTTATTACCTCTTACTAGGTTTTTGATTTTATAAAACAGTCTATGAAATTGTCTCCTTAGTCTAGAATCTTTATACCGTCGACATAAGTTTATTATTCTGATATCATGAGCACTTTCTCGCTTCCCATATACTCATTCCATGATATGTGGTCTGATTTCATGTAAATTTTTAAAATTTTGAATTTTTTCCCAAATATCTGCCGCAGAGATGCAGCATAAATATACCTACATGATATGATATGATATATAATTGCAGAGATCTGGACCAACTGACAATAACGACGGAAGGTAATGATGAAGTCGATTCAGTAATAAGCAATGATTCGCTGGATAAATACGAACAAAGGATGAATGCTGAATGTGATGTGAATCCGAAAGAGGAGAAACGTAGATCAAGTCATTTTTTTTAGAAATCTCTTAAAATCTACGGAGAAACCCTTATTTATATAAATAAAGGTACTAACAACTTTGTACAAAAAAAATGATTATGCTATGCTACGAGTCATACTACGAGTATCTCATAATTTGAATACAATCACCAAAATACTTGCAACGCAAACTTCCAGTGTCCGCATCACCGATACGTCTCACAAATACTCTTCACAATAATATGTCGAATCCATACGGACAACATGGTTTTGCTCCACCTCCTGGTGGTGTCGCATTAAAGAACTATCGTAACTGTGCTGCAAATCGTGGATTGCATAGTTTGCGCAGTACAACACCGCTGTCCAGGTAAGTAAACTTCTCATTGGCAGTAGGAATTTTTCGATACATATAATATCAAGTAGCAATGGTGAAGAAAAAGACGAAAGTTTCAGCAATGATTACGGCAGACATCGGTATTCGGATAGTTCCGGTTTCTGTAGTTCCGAATCGGCTAATATCATCAATCGAGCAGCCCTTTTTGAGAAAGCACGCCATATGGCAATGTCCACGCAAACTTCTTCTTTCCCACAATGTAAGTTGAATTATATTTGTCGGGCGACAAGTTCAAATATACTTGGTAGAATTGTTTGCACTATCGATATTTCACAGGAGAAATCGTGCAAATCAAATTAATAATTTGCAGAATTGAAAGTTTTCACCAGGATTTCATCTTTCAGCATGCAGCGAGGCGTCAACTAGCAGCTTTTACTATTGCTCATTTCCACTGCAACAAGAGGAAAAACAGCCATTGTTTGTGTGAGTTTATCTGTTTGCCACCCAGGCGCATTTTGAGGTTATAAAACCTGAGAGACATCTCATCTTAGTGATAATTTCAGCAACGACTTATGTCCGAAGAAGCAGCAGCTACCAATTTCCTACAGGGAAGAAAATGCGGAAGCACCATTCGTGGCCAAAATGGAAATGCGTGATATTACATTTCGTGAATTCCGTCGGTGCTTCGGTATTTCATCGAGAACAACCAAAAGGTAGTATCCGATCAAATAAACAGTATGCAGGGAACAGCAATGACATTCAGTAAAGGCATTTAAAGTAAAATACCATGGTAAAGACATGAACAAATTATTGAAAGTAGAAGACGAAACCTTAATTCATAATCAGTTCGTAATTACTTATTTTGGTCATTATAATTGTAATTACCTATATAAAGAGTAGGTGTTCTATGCGACTAAAAGATATAAATTTGAGTGAAAGTAATTGAACACTAATGCTATGGTCAGAATTTTTGTTGCCCAAGCTTTTATTACTGGTTTCTCGTGTCCTGAGTCTGAGTACTTTAACTAAACCGAAGGAAATAATTTAAATCTGAAAGAATAAGATGAAGAGGAACTTCGTGTTTCAGGTTTTTTTTCAAAAGTGATTGTGAGGATTGTTCGGCACCCTACCAATGGACCATAATTGATGATGATTGTGCCGTACTTCCGATATTTGAAGGCCGAATAACCGCGGAATGCCGAAGTTGTTCAGAGTCTGACTGAATGACCGGTCTACAGCGAGCTTAATTTCTATCACCTAACAGTTCTGAAAAACGATACCAGTTACGGGAATTCTCCAATGGAAAACTTTTTTTGTAAATCCAAATCGTACTAATAAAAAAAAAGTATTCCTTTCCAAATTTATCTCGTATTTTCTCGAAGTTCTTCGTAAAATCCGGGAATTTATGAAAAATTTAGAAGAGAATAGTTTCTTTTTAAGCATAATTCTTTTTGTACATAATGTTGTGCATGTTGATCGAAGTAATTGTCGTTTTTTTGTTCTAAATCTTTTGAAAGAAAATTTAAAACGAATTTCATAAATTTGAAGAGAAGCCGATTTACGCGTTCCTGATTATTTTATCATTGTGTATATATTCGTATAAATTCCACCATCTAAAGATGATATTATACATATAGTAGAACAGAGAGAGAGAGAGAGACAGATGTTATCTTGGCAAAATCAGTTGCTTTACTATGACCAATGATGATGTCTTGGCTGTTTGTTATCAAAATGATGTCTTGGGGTCTGTTATCATCTCCAGACGTAAATTACTGGGAAAAAAAATGATAGCACCCCACGGTTTCCACTATTTAGGTAACCATTTCATAACATTTGGAGGAGAGATGTGACGGAACATATAAGTGTGCGTCACTCCTCACGTAATTTCCTCGGCAATAGCAGCAGCCAAACCGAAACGCTCCTTACAACGTTACCCTATCCACCAGCTAGGGAATGCAAGATGCCCATCCGAAGTAACATGTGTACTTGTCGGTCTGTGCTCGACTAGCTAATCTCGAGTCTCTCTGCTTTTGCTCTTGTCATCACTGTAAGGGAAGGCTACGGATCAGACAGGCAGGGAAGCCTGGTGGAGAAATGGAAATGAAGAGAAGGAGAAGATGTGCAATCTGTACACACAACTAATTTAATAGCCGTGAAAGATGTAGGAGACAAGGAAGGTAGTTGGCAAGGTCTTGGCCACTGTGACAGGTCAAAGTGCACTCTATGACAGGTGGCCACAACTGTCGCAAAGTCTCGTAACAACTCCACTAGCCATTGCACTGTAGGCTAGCAGAGACAGGCAGAGAATAAGAGTATGCACCAATGCTGGCATACTATTTCCATAGTTCTTTGCTGTCTGTGTCCATAGCGCATTGCACACTATTTTCAGGTGCAGTTAAGAGTGAGTTGAAGTTAAAAAGAGGACTGATTGATGGGGTCTAATTTGATGGACAGGGATTAGCTGTCATAGACGGGGGATCTTACCTGGGAGTCGGGAATTCTCGGTAAAATGCCAGAAGTGTGATTAGTGAGTTAGCAGAGAAAGTGAGAGGTTGAGAATTTTCCTTAATTAGAAATTCATCTTACAAATCCAGGAATAATCGATCTTAAATTATTCCAGTTGGAAAATGAGTTCCAGCTTTTTAAGATAGGAATTCAAGTATCTGATCTTAAATTAATTTTGGTAACAATATTCTATGAATAGTTGGCAATGGAAAGGAAGGAATTAAGAGCTAAGCTATTTATTCTGATCATTTTCAAATATGCTTCTGTATTTTTCTACTCTGGATTAGCTATTCAAATTTAATGAGCGCATTTAGATTTAAACCAAATTTCTAACAGTTTTCCATTATTTATTTGTTTTAAATCAAAAATTTTTTCAAACAACGATTTTTTTACAAGTTATTACTTCTTTCATTGTGCATTAACTCCAGAGGAGATTAGCCGAACTTCTCTTTGATTTAAAATTAATTGAAGTCCCTCTTTGGGAGAAAATAATTTCAGTTTTTTATCAGCTCCAGATGCATCAGACTGTCTACTTCTGATTCAATTTCAAATCCCATTGCTAATTTCTTTCTTCATTCCTTTTCATTACCTGCTGATTTCTAATCAGAAACCAATTCTAGTTTTCCATTTCGAATCAGTTCCAGAGCAATTCGGCTAGTGTAAGATAATAGATTTCTGAAGAGACTTTGGATAAAACATAGCAGACATTTGTAGATTTTTAACTCTTTCGTTAGAAATTCGTTTTATAAACTCGGGACTGAAAACTAGTAAGTGAAAGACTTAATTGTATATATGTTTTCGTTGGATCAATTTGTTATCAGAAAACTAAGAGAATTGATAATTCTTCGCGATAATAATACTATTTCAGAAATGCATCGCTGCATCAGATATGACCTTTATTTATCATTTATACCTTTTTTTGTATGACATTTCAGTACAGGCAAATCGCTTATAACGCAGGTTGATAATATAAATATAAGATAATATGAATGTAAGCAGATTCGACGCTGTTATATTCGAGCATTTAACTTCCTTCATAATTTGTCGTAACTTTAGGACTTTAGAATATCTAAATGTACAATTTTTATTTGTAATAAATCAATATCCGAAAATGAAAAGAAGAAAAAACGAGGAACTTCATCCTTATCATCAGTCACGTTGGGTGATGTCACAGAAGTGTTAAAGTTAACATAGTATTTTTACACTGTTTTAGAGATTGCTCTAAGAAATTTCAAGAAGTCGTGAAAAGTTGGCTCTATTTTCCAGTGAGAATATTATTTCTCAATCGGTTATGAATACGGTAAATGGTTTATGTGTCCTTCCGAATGGATTCGATAATTTGGTCAATTCCATCGATTTAATTAGTTCGACACTTACTAATAATTTGGACCAATTAACTAAGGTTAGCAGTAGTCGCTGTTTATATTTAATTACTCCCAAGTCATTAAAAATAATTAAATTTTTGAGAAGATAGTATCGTTTTTAATTCTGTTCCATTTTCGTGTTTCCTCCCATCTTGAATTCAATTTTCTGTCATTTGTATTTTTCGATACGAGTGCGGAATGGAAGGGAATTGTTTTTATAAGAATTTCCACTTGGAAAACATAGTGGAATCAAAATTTAGTGATAATACATGTCATTTATTGTAAGGAATGAAAGATCAACCTGCTAACATTCTTTGCATAAACGTTTTTTTTTTTTTTTTCATAAACAGCCTAGCCTCTAAGATGATGTGTTTGAAAAGAAGAGTGGCTGTTTAATGGCGTTCATCATGTAGCCGTGTTCACGTGTTATTTGCAGATAGTAAAAAATGTAATTCTGAGATCTGTGCTGCATATATCTATTCAGTTCTACGTAGTGCTCTTCCAAAATCGAATCATTTCTAGGAATGCGGAAATTCGTCCAATTATAATTTTCTCTTTTTCTTTTTTATATGGTTTTACATATATTTTATACCTTATGTGATACATGAATGTTTGGTGCTTCATTATTTACTAAAGAGGATCAAAATTTATGTTCCAAACACTTTGATATTATATCGTTTTCAAACTTATGATTTTTTTAAATAATAAGAGTGATAGGTTTGATTTCTAAAAGAAGACGATATAACATGGAAATATTTGAGTATATAAATTCTTTTATATTCTTAGACAATATCTAACTTACTTAAATATTCACTGGCCTCCGAATCATTTCCAATCAATTTTTAAAACGCAGTCCCAGAATATTAGAGCTACGTTGGTGTAAATTGATGGCGTAACTATTCGAAACTTCAATAAACACTGCACTTTAAATGATGCAGTTGTACTCTGATAAGTTAGATGTAAACACTTTGGAAAGGACTAACATTATAATCATTTAATATTTGTTTCGTTTTGTCCATTGGTTAAGTTATTAAAAGAATTCATATTAATGTAGCTTCAGAAAATATCAGTATGGTTCGGTTCCTTCAACAATGCTAATATTCGTTGTGTCTTTCCTTCTTTTTTTTTTTAACTTACATATTTTACACAAATCGTCTAGTCTTTAATTTATCTGTCATGGTTCTAATTGAAGCTAATTGAATTTTAATTGAATTTTTTTCACAATTTCTAGTTTAAACCTAATATTTTACAAGTATTTCCAAGTCATCATAAAGATCGAATATTTCACTTTTTCTGGCAATTTTTTATTTAATTCATTCGTATTTTAATGAAGAATTTACAGGCTCGTCAAATATTATTTACATATGCCAATGGAAATCATTCAGAGGATTGTACGATTATTCTCCAGGAACATACGAAGTCTTTTATCCAGCAGATGGATACAATTATAGAAACACTGAAAAGCTCACGAAATGATGTAGCAAATAGCTATTTCAGCAATAACTGCAGCAGGTTTTTAGTTTAGTTTCTCTGATTAAAAAATTAAAAGTTAACAAATAAACTTTTTTTATTTGTAAATTGGTTTACATTTGCGGAATATATTCAAAAAATGAAATACAATGAATTGAAAAAGTGACATTTGATTTTAATTGTGTTTTGCCATGGAAGAATGGTCGATGGTCATATATTGTGAAGAGAGAATGTTTAGAATTCAACTAAATTCAACAACTCTGCTTTTTAAAATTTTCTAAGCATCTTTCCCAACCGATATATCTCATGTGCCCCCTATATCGCTGTATTATTCATGTGATCACAAGTAAGCATAAGCGTAAACTATTCTTAAATCATGATGTATAGCAAAAACAAAAACACATTTATCTTGGAATAGGATGGAATCCGTTACAAATAGCTGGGATGTTGCGGTGTTGAATTCCGATAAAGAAAGATGTAGCGATGAAGTTGACAAATCAAGTGTTGGATGTGATGAGAAAATGGAAATGAAATGTGATCCGTTGCATAGTGATATTAGTAAGAAAACTGAAGAGGACATTGAAGATGTCGAAAATACGAAAGGAAATATTGAACAGAACAAAGATAAATCAGATAATTCAGAAACGCTAGGCGACGATGAAATAGTGGAATTGGTAAGAAATTCAAAAATTTTCGTTTGTAACTTATTTCATTTCGTTTAAATCTGTTTGGAAAATATTTGAATATCTTTATTTTTATAAAAAAATTTTAAATTCGTAAGGTCTGATTTTTTTTCTTTTTTTTTTTTGCCGAATGATTTATCATTTAAGTTACTGTAGTATCTATAAAAGATCCTTAGAGTATAGCTTGTACGAGTCGATAAA